TCCATCTTTCCTCAATGATTCTTGTGTGGGTGTGTGTGGTACTGGGCTCAAATTTGGGCCTTCACACATATGAGTTATATACTCTATTGAGGAACTACATCCCTAACCCTGTCTTTACTATCTTCAAAGTATGCAGAAGAAGCTATGATCTCCTCTTAAACTATGTCTATCTTTCTTTGATCTATCATGTACCCCTTAGTTTGGCCCCATCTTTACTTTTGTCCATACAATCAGATCTTTATGCCATGTCTTCTCCCATATCTAGGTAGGCTTGATCACATTCATGGCCCTGGTGGGCAGCTTTGTGCCAGCAGAGGAAGCCGAAATTGGGGCCATAGATGCCATCTTCACCCGAATTCACAGCTGCGAATCTATCTCCCTTGGCCTTTCCACCTTCATGATCGATCTCAACCAGGTCAAGGAGAGCAAAGGGAGGTGGGGGGCTGGGAGAAGGGTGATGGCAATTATCTGAATAACGATAATAACAGGATAGTATTCCCTCTGCTCCATGCCCTCTCCAGGGACAGTGAGCATCCTGTTCAGAAAACAAGAGACTTAAAAATATTATAAGCCTTTTTTAGTCCTTTGTCTTGTGTGACACACTGTTGGCAATGTTATTTTTTGTTTGTTTGTTTTTTGTTTTTGCTTTTTGGATCACACCTGGCAATGCTCAGAGGCTAAATCCTGGCTTTGCACTCAGGAATCACTCCTGGCAGTGCTCCGGGGACCATATGGGATGCTGGGAATCAAACCCGCATCGGCCGTGTGCACACCCTACCTGCTGTGCTATTGCTCCAGCCCCACTGTTGGCAATGTTAAAGGAACAAAATCTATGACTCTTTATTAAAGAATTACAGCCCAGTAGAGTGGAAACATATAAGCAGTTTCATTTATAGGCCAATTGTGGTCAGCACATCCCGGGTCTCAAATGCTAATAAATTCTTGTCTTGTTTTTCTGGTGCCCAGCAGATGGCAAAAGCTGTGAACAATGCCACTGAACAGTCTCTAGTCCTTATTGATGAATTTGGAAAGGGAACCAACACGGTGAGGTGGGGGATGGGGACTTTCGAGGAACTGAAAGGGGAGCATACAAGGTGAAGGAACATGAGGGTGAGGCTGGAGTCTAGAAAAGAAGAGGGGAGTGGGGACAGGAAATAAACTACTAGATGGGGGAAAGGCAAGGTAGGAGTTGGGGGGACACATAAGGTGCCAACAGTATTGAATTCAACCTTGTCCTCTGCACAGGTGGATGGACTTGCGCTTCTAGCTGCTGTGCTCAAATATTGGCTCGCACTTGGACCCACATGTCCCCACATCTTTGTGGCCACTAACTTTCTGAGCCTCATTCAGCTACAGCTGCTGCCACAGGGACCTCCTGTGCATTATTTGGTGAGGAAACCAATCTGACTCCCTAGGAGTCCTGCAGCTAAGTTTTTTTCAGTACTGGGAACTGGTTCTTCCATGGAATCAAGGTCCATGTCTCCCTTCCTCTTTTCATTTCCAAGGATTGGTCAAGGGTTTCGGAGCAGGAAGCTTCGTGATGACACCTTGTTCCCGTTTATTCTCTTTTAGACCATGGAGACCTGCAAGGATGGGAACGACCTTGTCTTCTTCTATCAGGTTTGCGAAGGTGTTGCCAGTGCCACCCATGCCTCGCACACAGCTGCCCAGGCCGGGCTTCCTAGCAAACTCATTGCTCGTGGCAAGGAGGTGATGAGATCTTGGTCACCCTACTTATCTTGGCTCCTTTCATTCACTGTCCCTTGTGAACCTGGGTTTCTGAACCAATAACTTTCTTTCTTGTTCTTCCTTTTAAAAAGATTTTTTTTTCAGTTTACACCCTGAGGTGCTTGGAGGCATACTACTGGATTGGTGCTCAGGGGACCATGTGGTACTGTGGCTTGAACCCAGGGCTCCCTCATGCAAAGCATGTGCTTCAGCCCTTCAACCTATCTCTCTGGCTCACTGTGGGATTTCTAACTCTTCTGTTTTCTCTTTTTGTATTTATATCCTGCTCAACTCCTCCTCTACCTGCCTTCTTATTCTTAGGTTTCAGAGTTTATCTGCAGTGGGAAACCCATTAATCCTGTCAAAGAATTGCTAAAAGAGAAGCAAATAGAAAAGTGAGTATGTGACTGAAGGTCTGGTTCTCTCTAATGTGTTCTTCAGTCTTTCTCCACCTTTCATGGACCCAGAGAGTCTCTGTGCCCTTCAGAAATTCATAACTGGGGCTGGAGCAATAACACAGTGGGTAGGGTGTTTGCCTTGCACGCGGCCAACACAGGCTTGATTCCCAGCATCCCATATGGTCCCCCGAGCACCACCAGGAGTAATTCCTGAGTGCAGAGCCAGGAGTAACCCCTGAGCATCGCTGGGTGTGACCCAAAAAGCAAAAAAAAAAAAAAAAAAGAAAGAAAGAAAAAAAACCATAATTTATTTTTAAATCCCTAAATTCTCATGGTCCCAGTTTCCTATGCAAAATTCTCTCCCTCATTACCCATTCTCCCAAAAATACTCCCATTCTCACTTCCCTCAGCTGCCAGACACTAGTAGATAAGTTTCTGAAGCTGGATTTGGAAGATCCCAACTTGGACCTGGACATGTTCATGAGTCAAGAAGTGATGTCTGCTGCCACCAATATCCTCTGAGACTCCTTCCTCCATCCCCCTGTCCTTCCAAAGACCCGGGTGCCCTTTTTGTTTCCATAGCTCCTTCAGACCCAGAGTCCTCAGTTTCCCTGGAAATTTTGTTTCATGTTAGGAATAAAGATTACTTTGGAAAAAATTATTCTTTCCTTAGACCAGCTAAAATAAAATAGGAAATGAAACACCAAGCAGGAAGCCACAGAGGGACCTGTTCTTTGCGGCATTGAAGTGACTTGAGAGGCTGGAACAATAGTACAGGGATTAAGGTGCTTACTTTGCATGCTTGATTGACCAGGATTGAGATCCAGCACTGCATGATCCCCCTGACCACTTCCAGGAATGACTCTGAGCACAGAGCTGGAAATAGTCCTTGAGCACTGCTGGATGCACCCTAAGCCACGACCCCTAATAATAACAATAATAATAATAATAATTAAAATAATGATTCTAGGTGCCATTGTGGAAATGGTTCACAAGGGCTTGAGTGCATGCTTTACCTGCAGGCCCTACTTTGATTCCCAGTTCCATATGGTTCCCCAAGCACCTCAGGGAACAACTCTTAGTACTGAGCAAGGAGAATCCCCTGAGCATCACAGGGTGCAACCCAAAAGCAAAGAAAAAAAATAGTTATTTGTTTGTAGGGAGACCCTCAGACTCTACCCAGGGGGACATTTTGTTTTTGTTTTAGAGCCACTACTTCCTTAAGTAGGAATACCCTACATTCAGCAGGAAGGGCTTCAAGAGTCTGAAAGGCAAGTGGAATGGGCACCAAACAAGGGTAGAAGAGACTAGTGGGTGTGGCTCCATCCTCCCAGCTCAGAGCCATGGGGAACCAGGGCCCTGACGGCTGCTCGTGGAGCAAGCCCCCTCACACAGCTCTGCTGCCACCAGTGAAAAAAAGCCCCCAAGGGTGTTTGCCTTGCACGCGGCCAACACAGGCTTGATTCCCAGCATCCCATATGGTCCCCCGAGCACCACCAGGAGTAATTCCTGAGTGCAGAGCCAGGAGTAACCCCTGAGCATCGCTGGGTGTGACCCAAAAAGCAAAAAAAAAAAAAAAAAAAAAAAAAAAAAAAGAAAGAAAAAAAACCATAATTTATTTTTAAATCCCTGAATTCTCATGGTCCCAGTTTCCTATGCAAAATTCTCTCCCACTGGCCTGAAGCTTCTTCCTCTGGATGCTTATCAGTCTAACAGGAGGTCCTGGGAGAAGCTCCTCCACATAGATCTGATCCCAACATTTGCATTCAATTTTTCTATTACTGTCCCACTCAATTTTGACAGATTAAAAGTCTCTCCCTGCTTCCTCTTGCCCTCCAGGTTTTCAGACTCTCACACTGAGCAGTAAACCCAATAGTTTGGAGATATAATTTGGAACCCTGTTGTTGAACTAGTTAGTCTCTTTGCTTTTTGCCTTTTTCATCTGCAGAGGATGCCCTCTGGCAGGGGCCTGGCATGCTGCAACAAAGAGGGCATGGTCTGAGGGTGCCCTGAGGGAGGCACAGCACAGCAGCTGCCTCTGGAGGCCTTCAGTGAGGTAGAGGCTGCTCCACAGTATCTGCTACGAGGGGGACAGAAATGTATGCTCACTGTCTGATATCGCTCTGGAAAGGCAAGAGTTACTAGGCAAGGGCTCATGGATTGAAAGTGGCACTGGATGGAAGGATGGCCTATGTTCAGTTGGTACTCATTGTTGTAACTGGAAAGTATCTGCATCCAGTTAGAGACCCAATTTTGGAAAAACTAAACTGAGCTGGATTATTCCACTGGGTCAGGGATGGACAAGAAGAATCCATATAGTAGGGAAAGGGGGTACTGTGCTGTTTGAGCAAATGGAGCAGCTGGACTATTAAAGAGATGGAGTTGGGTGCTGGAGAGATAGTACAGTGGTAGAGCGCCTCCTTGCACACAGCCCACCTGGATTCGATCCCTGGCATCCCATATGGTCCCCAGAGCTCAACAGGAGTGATTCCGGAGAAGTAACCCCTGAGCACTGCTAGACGTGACCCCCAAACAACAGAGATGGAGGTGGGTCCCAGAGAGAAAGCTCAATAGGGTGAGAGCTTTGCAGTTCTGCATGCAGAAGGCAGCCTGAGTTCAAGCCCCAGCACCACATGATCCGTGACGGTTGACAGTCAAGTGTATTCCCAAAACAACAATGAAGAGATGGACAGGGGTATTAAGATGTGGGGAGGTTAAGGTGTGGAAGGAGGGAGGTATAGACAATGGTAACCAGAGAAGAGTGGAAGGAAAGGCCTACATTATTAGCCTCAAATACCTCTAGAATTTTCTAAGAGATTATACTCAGAAGCAGGTGACTCCCAGTTAATCCAGATTCGAAAGGTAAATATCTGATTCAGTGAAAGGTGAGTTTATTTTTAGTTTAGACTTGTAGGGAAGTGGGGGCAGAGAGGGGACTTGAGGTCAACGTTGGTTTATATTTCATAAAACAGCCAATTTTTCTCCAGTGCTCTCTATTTCTCTTGAACAAGGCTAGTTCTGTGCCATCCAGGATTGAAAGGTAAGGCAAGGGAGCAGAATTGTAGCAGCAAAAGAAAAAGTGTGTGTTTAAATGGGGGAGGGGATCAGAGGAGTTAGAGGAGTGCAGGGGTGGGGTGGGAAGGTGAGAAGTCCCAGTCCTGCAGGGGAGGAGTAGATTCCCAGACTGTTTAGCTTCTCATTTCCAGGAGTTGTCAAGGCAGCAGAAAGAAGTCATTCAGTCTAAAGGGAAGATGGCTCGGCCTATAGGAGTAGGGACCCTACCCCCGTTGAAGGCTTCTTCTCATTCCCCTTAGGTGATAACTTGGGAGGTTGAGTCAGAACTCCCAGCCTCCTTATTTCATTTCTTGACTTAACAGCTAAACGTGGTGGGCCAACTAGTCTTGGTGACAAATTTCTTCTCCATTCCTGAAATTTTCATTTCATCTTCTCAGTGTCTTATGTTCTTACTCTGCCCTACATATTTCTTTTAAATCCCTGGGGAAAAGACACGTATATTGAAATTATACCTCAACTTCTTTTTTTCTTTTTTGGGTCACACCCGGCGATGCTCAGGGGTTACTCCTGGCTCTGCACTCAGGAATTACTTCTGGCGGTGTTCAGGGGACCGTATAGGATGACAGGGATCGAACCTGGGTTAGCCGCGTGCAAGGCGGCTTTACGCTGTACTATCACCCTTGTCCTCCAACTTTGAATACAAAAATAAAATAGCTTCTCCAGAATTATAAATAAAAAGTTCTATAAAATAATACTTCCTTAGTAATATCCTCCTACCCAACTCGCAGACACAATTTCCCCATATACCTCTACCTGAGCTTCAGAGAGAATGAAACAGTAGTAGAATATTGATGCTCCAGAGAAATAGAAAACAACTTTCTCCAAGAATGAATCTTTGGTTTGGTTCCTCTAAAGGTCAGGGTAAGTGCACTCTGGGAAATCCATTGCTTCCTCTCCCAGTTTTGATGAGAAAGATAAGGGACAAGTGCATGCGAAGGAACGCCTCCATCCCAGCTGGAAGGTTCCTGAGGCCCATATTACCTTCTCACCAACAGAGCAAGATTGGAAATCGTGTTGGAGGTAGTCCTCTGAGGCTGTCGTGTCACCAGGATGCCAGGCCAAGCAGGAACAGCACCCCTCCCGCTATGCTCCACCAGAGGTTGCCTGCCAACTCCCTCTCAGCCCTGTCCAGAGTCACCAAAGGGGAAGGACCAAACTTTGGGCTGGCTGTGAAGGCGGGGCCAGGCGAATGGGGCAGGACAGCAAGCTGGTCCTGGGGAGGAGGAAGAGACTGTTAAGGTGACTGCATCCGAATTAGGCTTGCTTACCCCTTCCTGTGCCTGCCTGCTTGGTGCAGACCAAACCCCTTCCCTCCTGCATGTGCTCTAACCCTTTAACTGTCTCTCTAGCCCTCCTATCCTATACTCATTTTAAATTTTGTGGGGTGGGGCCATCCTGCAGTGTTCAGGGCTTCCTTCTGGCTCTACACTCAGGGATCACTTCTGGCAGTGTTCAGGGGATCATTTGTGGTGTCAGGAATTGAACCTGATTGACCTGGTGCAAGTCAAGTGTGCCACCCACTGTTCTATTGCTCCGGCCCTGACCTGCATTATATATATATTTTTTTTTTAAATTTATTTTTTCCCCCTCTTTGGGTTGGGCTGGAGTGATAGCACAGCGGTAGGGTATTTGACTTGCACGCAGCTGACCCAGGTACAATTCTTCCGTCCCTCTCGGAGAGCCCGGCAAGCTACTGAGAGTCTCCCACCTGCACAGCAGAGCCTGGCAAGCTCCCCATGGCATATTCGATATGCCAAAAACAGTAACAACAAGTCTCACAATGGAGACGTTACTGGTGCCCGCTTGAGCAAATCGATGAACAACGGGAGGACAGTGCTACAGTGCTCTTTGGGTCACACCCGGTTATGCACAGGGGTTACTCCTGGCTTTGCACTCAGGAATTACTACTGGCGGTGCTTGGGGACATATGGAATGCTGGGAATCAACCCAGATTGGCCGCATGCAAGGCAAATACCCTACCGGCTGTACTATGATTCCAGCCCCATATTTCTCCCTCCCCTCCCCTGCATTTTAAACTGGTACACCTCACCTGTGGGGCTGGGGCCAACACCAGGAGTCTGAGGAAGGCATGAGTCTGGGACTCTGGACTGCGACCTGTCGCAGTCACTGTCACCATCACCCCAGAATCTGGGGTGGCTGAGTCTGGAACCTCCAGCCATAGGCGGCCCCAGGCAGACTCATTTGGTTCCAGGAGAACCCTAGGGAGTAGACGGACAATCTGTTCAAACTCTAGGCTCCCAAGAGATTGAAAGCAAGGGGTCAGGCTAAGCATGATGGGGAGGTGAGATCTGAGGGCCAATCAGAATAGGGACGAGGCAGGGCTTAAGGAGCTGGAGCAGATTCCCCTCCCCACAAGATGCAACAGGAAGGGAGCAGGGGTTCCACCTGGAAATGTTGGAGGTGAGAGTGAAGGTAGGAGAGTTGACCGAAGCGTTAAGATCAAGATCCTGAGGGCTGGCAAAGTTGGCAATGCGGAGACTGAGAGGGGCCTTGCTGCCTGGTGCCAAGAAACCCTGGGGACCATAGAGCTGCGGAGAAGTGTGGGTCAGGGAGGAGCTGTTCCAGCTCTCTCCCAGGGACCGTAACTGCCCGCACAGTCCCTCAGTACCTCACCTCCAGAAGGACTGGAACGACAGTGCAGGGCTGTGGTGCTGCCCGGTACAGGCCCCGCCCATCTCCGTCCTGGCCTGCCAGCTCTAGGGAGAAGGGCCCCTGGGTGGGCAGAAGTGGTAGTGAGGCCGCGAGGAGACCCCGTTCCCTGGGTCCCATGGGCTCCAAAGGCACTCGGCCCAGCTCAACCCCCTCTGGCACCCCTCGAAGGATGACGTGGGAAAAGTTGCCTCTGGATGGAAGTCCAATAACTTCTACTAGGAGCTGGGTCTGCAGACCTGGAACAGAGATTGGGGGTGGGGGGAGACACACACATCATTTGGAGACACAGAGATGGATGGGGACTATCTGTGGGGGACTATGGAGAGAGAAAAGGGGTTATGTTTGAGGCATATTGGTAGGTCAGGAAGGAGTTCCATGATATCATAAATGCTTCCATATTTTTGTTTTGTTTTGGGTCACACCTACTGGTACTCAGAGATTACTATGGTTTTATACTCAAGGATCACTCTTGGTGGGGCTTGGGGGACTTATATGTGGTGCTGGGGACTGAACCTGGGTGGGCCAGGTGCAAGGCAAGCTCCCTATCTGCTCTATAGGCCCAGTCCCGAATGTTCTTTATCATCAACCACGTTATGGTTATGTGGGTTTATTAAATTAAATCCATCTATCAATGTTTAAAAGTAGTATAATATAATGGTAGAATGTATATCTTTTTTTGTTTTTTGGGTCACACCCAGCGACGCTCAGGGGTTATTCCTGGCTCTGCACTCAGGAATTACTCCTGGCGGTGCTTGGGGGAACCATATAGGCTGCCGGGAATCGAACCTGGGTCGGCCATGTGCAAGGCAAATGCCCTACCTTCTGTACGAGCTCCAACCCCTAGAATACATATCTTACATGTATAAGGCACTGAGTTTGATCCCTAGCACCACTCCCCCCAAAGACTTTATTATATGTAAATTAAAGCTCAAAAAGTTAAATATATATGTCTATATCATGAACCATGGGTGTGCAGAGGGGAAGAAATAGGTATACCTGCAACAGGGTGAGTCAGAGGGTAGAGGCCAGGATGGGGGCCGTCATCTATGGGAATTCCAAAGTAGAAGAGGAAGTCCAGGGAGGTCTGGGCTGAGGGGATAAAGGCAGTCAGATACCATCCAAGGGGCTGGGGTGATAGCACAGCTGGTATGGAGGTTGCTTAGCACATGGCTGATCCCTGGCACTCAATATGGTCTCCCAAGACATGCTAGGAATGATCCCTGAGTGCAGAGCTAGGAGTAAGCCCCGAACACCACTGGGTATGTCCCAAAACCCACCATACCCCCCCCCTCCAAAATAAGAAAAAAGGAAAATGAAACTATCCCAATAAATTGCTAATGTTGATCTCTGAGCTCTCTAATCTCCTCTTTCCTTCCCAGAATCATTTCCCTTCTTACCTTGCACTCTCACCCGGGGGGTGCCCTCAGCTGTAATATTGATCTCCCAGGTCCCCATTTGTAGGGGATCATTCAGCGTCACCATCCAAAACTTCCCAAAGCGGCGAGTATAACCTAGAGGCCCCTTGCCTTCCTCCTGGCCCTGAGAGACCCCTGGGTGAAGGTAAGATATGGTCATAGGACACAATGTCCCCTCTCCTTTGTACTCACCCTCATTTGCCAGTCCCCAGTCACCATTCTTCCCTCTGTCACATGGAAGTACCTGCAGGGTTCTTGATCCAGAAGCTGCTGACATCTCCATGGATCCGAACTATGACCCTCTCAAGCAGTCCATCCACACTGAACACAAGTGGCCTCCCAGGGACCACAGTAGGAGGTTCCAGGGGAAGGGTCACCTTGAGGGATTGGGAAAGACCAGCAGTTCCAGAGAATATAAGGCATGGGATTAGGTGGGAACAAAGATAGGAGAAAAGTGAAACAAACTAGAGAAGAGGGCAGAGCGACAGGACAGCGGGGAAGGTGTTGGCTTGGCATGCTTCAACCAGGGTTCAAGCCCCAGCACCCCATATGGTTCCCTGAGCCCACCAGGAGTGATCCCTGTGGTCAGAGCCAGGCATAACCCCTGACCCTGAGCACCGCCGGGCATGGCCCAAACTCCACCCTACAAGAGAGAGAGACAAAGACAGAGACAGAGACAGAGAGACAGAGAGAGACTGGAGAAGAAATACCAGTGAGTGAGGGGAACCAGAACAGGGATTAAGTTATGATCAATGACAAAGTTGAAGGGACTTTGTCTTCTTTAAAAGATGGCAGAACTCCCTGTGCTAGGCCTGAGGACAAACACAGTGGTCTAACATGGAGCAAAGCAGAGGTGGTATCTGTGGCTCTCAGAGGGAGTGAAACTTCCTTCCCACCCTTCTGACACAGTAATAGGAGGAGAAATGCACAGTCACCCATCACCTCAGCTCAGAGCTGAGAACACTGGTGTCTTAACTCACACTCACCAGGTCAGTCATGCTGTCCCCAACAATGGCCGCCACATCCTGAATGTACTGGTCCTTGGTGAAAATCACCTCTCCTCCTGAGGCTAGGGCCACTGCTTCATATGGCTCAAAACGCAAAGGGGACAAGATCTCACGTCGAGCTCGACCCTGAACTCTTGATGGATCTTCAGTCACCAGGAATGTTACCTGTGCCCAGGTGAGAGGCCGGTGCTTGAGATTATCAAATGTTACCATTGTAAATGAGGATTTTTCTGTACCCAAACTTTCTGCAGCATCAGTGATTAGTGATCAGGCGTCCCATCCCCTCTGGTTGCTACTGGAGAGTCTCTCAGTGACATGGCTTCCCAGCCTGGAGACAGTAGCAGCTACTTCCATTAAATCCACATTGTGGATTATTGGCAAGGAGATCTCTAGATATCTCTAATTTGTCAATGGATTACCAGAAGCAGGTTGAAATACAAGCTCAGCATCATTAAGGGTAGGGACCCCTGTGAAGTATTATAAAAGAGATGAGGGAATGTTATACTCATCATTCACTTCTGTCCATGCAAAGCTGGTTTGACCACCATAGTTTGGCTTGATCCTTGTTAGACCCTTGTTAGGAAACTGTCGATAGGAAACCTTGTTAGGAAACTCCCACACGCCTGGGTGGTTAACACTGGGTCTCCCCAGCTGTGCTTACTCTGCAACGCCGCTCCTGGGTCAGGGATTCCACTCGGTTGGTAAGAAAGGCATCCTTGGGGGAGGCATCAGTGAAGACAAAGATGTCTGAAAGTGGAGGTGTGTGCAGCAGGGCCAGCTGGCAGGGAGGGAAAGGGCTGATATTAAAAGTGGCGGTAGGGCTGGAGTGATAGCACAGTGGGTAGGGTGCTTGCCCTGACCCGGGTTCGATTCCCAGAATCTCAAATGGTTCCCTGAGCACTGCCAGGAGTGATTTCTGAGTTCATGAGCAAAGAGTAGCCCTGTGCATTGCTAGGTGTGACCCAAAAAGCAAAAAAAGAAAAAAAAAAGGCAGTAGCGGGGCCGGAAGGATAGTACAGTGGGTAGGATGTTTGCCTTGCATGCGGCTGACTTGAGTTCGATCCCCGGCATCCCATATGGTCCCCTGAGCACCACCAGGAGTAATTCTTGAGTGCAGAACCAGAAGTAACCCCTGCACATCTCTGGTTGTGACCCAAAAAGCAGAAAAAAAAATGATGAAGCAGGCAGAGAGACAGTATAAGAGATAAAACACTTGCCTTGTGTGTGGTCAACCCTGGTTCAAATCCCCAGCACCCAAGCACTGTCAGGGGCTAGTCCTGAGCAGAGAGGCAGGAAGAGGCCCTGAGCATCGACCCATGTGGGACAAAATGAAGAAAATGGTGATGGTGGGGGCATGATGAAGAAAGGGAGGAAAAGAAACAAACAGGGCCCTAGAATCCTAAAGTGAAGCTAATGGAACTAAGGCTTCTTGACAGGGACCTACAGCTTCCCTTCATGGTGAAGCCTAGACAGAGGGAAGAAAAAGGACCAGGGAGCCGGGATAGACAGACCTCCAGGGCGGAAAGGCACATCTCGGGTTCATCTCCACCCCCCAAGGCATGGATCTCATTGAGTTGTTGCCAGAAGTTGTCAGGATCACTGGTTGTAAAGACCGGACCAAACCCTAGGGAGAGGAAAAGGATACTGAAATGACTGAGAAGAGGCTTCTCCCGCCCACACACCCAGGGCTACCTCTTCAGTCAAGAGGCCTGTATGCTCCTATAATAGACAGACATCGAGATAGGGATATTCCCTTCCATTCATTTGGTCAGGCAAAAAGGCCTCAAGTGGGAAAGTAGACTTCATTTCCTTAACAAAATGGCAGTGCTTCCTCACAGTATATGTGTAATTATTTAAAACCTGGGAGATGGGGTTGGAGAAATAGTATAGTGGATAGTGTGCTTGTCTTACATACACATATCCTTAAGCCCTGCCAGGAGTGATCCCTGAGCACAGTCAGGAGTAAGCACTGAGTACTACCAGATATGGTCCCAAAACCCCATCAAACAAAACCCTTGGGGTCTGTCTCCTTACTATAAAAGCCACAAAAAATAGTAGCACTTATTTTATTTCATTTCATTTGATTTTATTTTCTTGGGGCACACCCAGCTGTGTTCAAGGATCACTCTTGGCAGGAGGACCATATGTGTTGCCAGAGATATAGCCAGTGTTGGGAGCATGCAAAGCAAGTGCCTGAGTACAATTTTTCCAGCCCTCAGTAGGCCTTTTCAACCCTTGGAGACAGGCAGGATAAGCATAGTGAACCATCGCATGGAAGATGAAATTGAGGCAAAAAAGTTTGGATGCCCTGCCTCAGAATATAGTAAGACTAGAAACCCAGCCTGATGATCATCAAACTTTCACTTTAGTTGGGAAAGGGAAACAATGTCACTAGAGTGTGAGTCTGTGGTCACCTGAATCCATCTTCACCCTATTATCTATTACACAGGAAATGGAAATAATTGAAAATACCTTACTAGCGCAGAAGCCCAAGAAAGCAGAGACCCCTCTATCTAAACATCAATCATGATTAAACTCTTACAGTAAGCACAATCACTTTGGAATGATTTCCGAGATGCACCTTGATATCTAGGCAGGCTCCCTTAGGACCATAAGCTGGACCACCATTTTATTCAGAAGCACAGTCCTGAGGCCCACTTCACCACCAGTGGCATTTATTCCTTGCCCAGGCCTTTCCTGCCCTCCGCTGTCTCAGCAGAACCAGTTACCTGGGTCATGGAAAGGCACCAGGACATAGTAGCTGGGCTCCATGGGGCTGCCCCGGCGCTGTTCCACGATGCGGAGAGTCTGAATTTTGGCAGCGTTGATCTCCTCACCCATACTACCTGTGGTGTCCAGAACAAAGCTCAGGCCAGAGGCTGGGGTGATGTCTAGCAGCCTGGGGAGGAAGCCAGACACACAATGGAGGGTCTGTACCTTTGAAGCCAGCCCCTACTCTCTCAGCAACCCCCAAGCCCACTGCTAGAAAACCACTTGCCTGGAGAAACCCTTGTCTCCCAGGTGGCTCCGCAGGAAGCTGAAGGCCTGGATGGATGCCAGAAAGGCCAGATTTGCAGCTGGGAGGTGCAGTGCGTGGTGCGGGGAGAAGCCCGGGGCTGTGCTGTCTTTGTTGATGCCTCCCCGTGGTGGCTGAGAGCTGCTCTGGTCAAAATGGCCCCCATGGCTACATTTCCCTGGGTTGGGGAAAGGGATCTGGAGGGTGGAGGTAAGAGACCCACTGCCTCCTAAGAAAGGGGGGAGGGGTGGCTTCTGACCTGGCCAAACCCTTTCACTCCTTGGCAAAGTATTAGCAAGAAATGATGACAAGGTTGGGGAGAATTCAACGGGCTGAGCACATGTTTTGCACACAGGAGGCCTGAGTTCAGTTCCCAGCACCACACGGTCCCCCGAGCACCTTTTCTTTTTTTTCTTTTTGGCTTTTTGGGTTACACCCAGTGATGCTCAGGGGTTACTCCTGATTCTGCACTCAGGAATTACTCCTGGCACTGCTGGGGGACCATATGGGATGCCGGGGATCGAACCCAGGTCAGCAGTGTGCAAGGCTAATGCCCTGCCCGCTGTGCTATCACTCCGGCCTCTGGGGGTGACTTCTAATAAAGAGCTGGGTTTAGCACCTAATCACTAGCAGGTATGGCCCAAAATGCAAAAAAAAGAAACAATGACATTTTGCAGAGGGCAAGTCTGCTGCATCTGGAGGGTTAGTCATTGCAACTCACGTAGTGGATGTCCTAAACTCTCAGTGTTTCAAAGTTGTACCCCCCCACTCCACCCCAACAACTGTAGCCACCTCTGTGGGCCTCCTTCCACTGCCGGTCCCACCCACCTTCCCAACACCCTCTCCTTCCATAGTGATGCTGTGGGACAAAGACCTACAGGGCTGAAGGAAGTGGGTCTTCCCCCTTCCTTCCAGAGGCCTTCTTGTCAGTACCTGGAGGTTTGGGAGGATGAGTTCCAAAGTAGCCAGAGGTGAGGAGTGGAAAGCCCAGCAAATTCCAGGGACAGCTCAATTCTTCACAGTCAGAGCAGGTGGGGTCACCCACTGTAGACAGAGGACAGTTTCAGCGCAGGCCTTCATAAACTTTTTCCACTCATGATCCTTCTCACTCAAGAAATGCAACCCAGGTGAGTGCTGCCAGAAACACCTTGAATTCATTACATGATTGATTTGGGGGCTGATGCTGGCTCTATGCTTGGGGGCTACTCCCAGCAGTGCTCAGGGAACCACATAGCGTCAGGTTCACTGGGGTCAGCCACATGCCAGGCAAGTGCTATAACCCTTTGACTACCTCCCTGGCCCCTTACACAGTTGATTTTAGTAAGTTCTTTTTTTTTTTAATTTTATTTTCATAAAGTTGTTCACAATAATGGATTACATTCAATATTTCGACACCGGTCCCACCACCATTTACTTAAGTTCTTGGTTCTTGTGTGTTCAGAAACTTTTTACTATTGTCACATTTTTCATAATCTCCATATCCAGTTACACAGCCCCAAATGGGGCTGAAATCTATTCAGTAAGTCAGAGCCTGGGGCCAAAGAGGTAGTACTACGTATGGAGTGTTTGCTTTGGCTGTGGCTGACTTGGGTGCAATCCCGGCATCCCTATATGGTCTCTCGAGCCCTGACAGGAGTAATTTCTGAGTGCATAGCTAGGAGTAAGCCATGAGCACTGCTGGGTGTGGCCCCCAAGCCCAAACCCAAAACACCTGACGTTCACAAGCTGATACTAATATTAAGTCTTTGAGTCTGGAATGAGTTTGAAGACACGTAGAACCGTCCTACGGGGCCAAGTGCTTTGTGAGCTGGGGTGGAAGCGAGTTTGTAACAATCAGGATGCAGCTCTGTGTCCTGTACAGGTGGGAAAGAATTCTCTACGAGAAGACCCTGGGTGAGCGGGGGCGAAGCCCCAGCAGACAGCACCCACTGAGGTCTGCAGACCTGCTTCTGGCTCTGTGTGCCAGGGACAGCTTCTCTCACCAGCTTTGGCTTAAACTGAGGACCCCACTGGTGACAGTACATCCCCTATGACCCCGACTGTGACTTAAGGCTAGATGGGCTGAGAGCAGGTGGGCTTTCTGCTCACCACCTGAACTGGAGTTTTACCTTGTGCCAGGCGCTGGAGCTTCTGCCTGGACCCGAGGAGGTGAGGGTGTGGCTGCTGCGCCCCCAGTTCCACCCAGTTGCTGTGACTGTAAAAATCCTAATCTCAGGAGAAGAGCAAACATTAGTCTGACTCGGGGCTGGAGTGATAGCACAGCGGGTAAGGCATTTGCCTTGCATGCGGCCGACCGGGGATCGAGTCCCAGCATCCCATATGGTCCCCCGAGCACTGCTAGGAGTAATTCCTAAGTGTAGAGTCAGGAATAATCCCTGTGCATCCCGGATGTGACCCAAAGAGCAACTCCCCCCCCAAAAACAAAACATTAGTCTGACTCAATCTTTTCTTGTTGTTTTGTTTGGGGGACACACCCAGCTGTGCTCAGAACTTCCTCCCAGCTCTGCACTCTGATCACTCTCAGCAGAGCTCTAGGGACCATATGGGGTGTCAAGATCAATGGAACCTGGGCGGGCTGTGTCAAGGCAAGTGCCCTGCCCGCTGTTCTATCTCTGCAACCCCCTCTTCTCACTTCTCACAACCTCAAGCCCTGATTCTCCACCTGTTTCCCATCTTGAAACCTCCTCCCACCCCACTACACCTCTTAGTCACCCTGGGCCCCTCCTTGCTCTCCTCAGGGCCTGGCAGCAGATTATTTATTTATTTATTTTGGTTTTTGGGTTACTCCTGGTGCATGTACTCAGGAACTCCTCCTGGTGGTGCTTGGGGGGGACCATATGGGATGCTGGGAGCCAACCCGAGTGGGCCACGTGCAAGGCAAACCCCCTACCCGCTGTGCTATCGCTCCAGCCCCCGGGCAGCAGACTAGACCCAAGAGGGAACTCGCTCCAACCCACTGGTCCCCACTTGACCTTGGTGCCTCTCCACCTTCTACTTCTCTGCAGTTTGTGGGTGTCCCAGTTTGCAGGTGGTGAACTCAGCAGTGTCTGATCCCTTCTACAGGAAGGGGGCCTAATGGAAGGATGATCCCCTGGAGTGAGAGAGACTGGACACAAAGACCCCTGCTCTCACCTGCAAGGCGTGCAGCGCAGCCCCAAGGCGCTGGCGGGCCAATGGGTAGTCCCGGGCACGGGCTGCGGCCAGGCTCTCCCGCAGGGTCCCCACCAATCGTGCGTGCCCCTGGCTCAACCGCTCAGCATCGAAGTGCAGGTCAGGGTCATTCTTGGAAGTCGGCAGGAAGTCCTGGGCAGCATTGGCGCGTGTCACCTCCCCCAAGGCTGCTCGGAACCGACGGGACGGAGAGCCAGGTCCAAAGTAGGCAGCAAAGAGATCATCGGCCAGGAGGGTACGGCCCTATTGAGAGTGGTTGGGGACAGGGTCTCCAGGGAAGAATGACTGGGGACAGGAGTCCAGAAGGCTGGAGCCCCGAGCACTGAGCGCCTCGGGTGCCCCTGAGGGAGCAGTTTAAATCTGTTCATATAACTCAAGTGTATATTTATGCTTAACTAACCTGTTTATATTTATATCCTTAGATATGTTAAAGTCTAATCCAACTAAAGGACATTTGTAGTTCTAAGCAAGCTGAGGACAGTGGGAGTCTCAGTCTAGGGGGTTGTGTGAGCCCCAGACCCCAGGCTTTTTCTCTTTTCTTTCTTTCTTTCTTTCTTTCTTTTTTCTTTTTGGGTCACACCTGGTGATGCTCAGGGGTTGCTCCTGGCTCTGCACTCAGGAATTACTCCTGGCACTGCTCAGGGGACCATATGGGATGCTGGGATTTGAACCCGGGTCGGCTGCATGCAAGGCAAACACCCTACCTGCTGTGCTATCACTCTAACCCCTCTCTTTTCTCTTTTCTTTTCTTTTCTTTTCTTTTCTTTTCTTTTCCTTTCCTTTTCTTTCTCTCCTCCTCCTCCTCCTCCTCTTCCTCCTCCTCCTCCTCCTCCTCCTCCTCTTCTTCTTCTTATTATTATTGTTGGCTTTTCGGGTCACACCTGGTGATGCTTAGGGGTTACTCTTGGCTCTGCATTCAGGAATTACTCCCTGCTGTGCTGGGGTGCCACATGGGATGCCAAGGATCGAGACCAGGTTGGTTGTATGCAAGGCAAATGCCTTCCCCACTGCACTATGGTTCTGGTCCTTCTGTCTCTTTTCTTTTCTTTTTTTTTGGGGGGAGGGTGGGGTGTCACACCTGGCAATGCACAGAGTTACTCTTGGTTCTGCAGGAATTACCCCTGGCGGTGCTCAGGGGACCATATGGGATGCTGGGAATCAAACCCCGGTTGGCCACGTGCAAGACAAACACCCTATCTGCTGTGCTCCAGTCCCTCTCTATCTCTTTTCTTAATCCTCCCAACTCCCCTGCTCAGGCCTGTTCATCTGGGGCTGGTCCCCAGCAAAGCACCTTAGATTGGACCAGAGCCCAACTTTCTTAGCAACTGGCAATCAAGACTGGGATTCCTTCTGGGTTCAATCCTAGCACTCTTGGTCCCCAGCACTTAAGGCAGTCAACCCCAAGCACTGACCCAGGAGAAGCCCCCAAGCACCATCTGATGTGGCCCCTCAAAATAAGATTTTTTGTTTTTATAATTTAAAAATTAATTTTTAAATTAAAAATATTATTGGGAGGGGCTGGAGCAATAGTACAGCGGGTAGGGCATTTGCCTTGCATGCGGCCAACCCAGGTTCGATCTCTGGCATCCCATATGGTCCTCCAAGCACCACCAGGAGTCATTCCTGAGTGCAGAGCCAGGAGTAACTCCTGAGCATCACTAGGCGTGACCCAAAAAGTAAAAAATAAAAAATAAACTCAAGTATGGGGCCAGAGTGATAAGGCATTTGCTGGTAGGGTATTTGCATATGGCTGCCCTGGATTTGATCCCAGGCAACCCATATGGCATCCCGAGCACCACCAGGAGTAACTCCTGAGTGCAAAGCCAGGGATAATTCCTGAGCACCTCTGGGTGTGACCCAAAAAGAAAAAAACAAATACATATATATGATATATATATATATACACACACACACACACACACACACACACTAGGGTGCAGAGATATAATGGGAAGGGCATTTCCTCCGCACATAGCCCACCCAGGTTCAATCCCTGTCATCCAACAGGGTCCCCTGAGCCTTGCCAGAAGTAATTCCTGAGCACAGAGCCAGGAGTAGCCCTGATCATTGCTGGGTGTGGCTCAGAACTTAAAAAAATATAAAAAAGAAACTGGTGGGAGGGTGGGGACAAAGAAAGTGCAGGGGTAAGGTGCAAACCTCGCATGCGCTGACCCAGGTTCTATTTCTGGCACCACATATGGTCCCCCTGGGAATGATCCCTGAGCACAGAACCAGAAGTAAGTTTTAAGTATCACTGGCCCAAAAAGCAAACAATAAAATAAAAATATAAGACTTGGAGGCTCCAAACAGCCAAGATTGCTGAGCCCTGTAAGGAGGGGTCATTCCTGGACCTGTTTCAGGAAGGGGTCCCTAATCTCAGGGCTGGACCTCCGGTTATTGCCAACGGGCCCTTCTCTTGCTAACAGGCCCTTGTAGGGGTTCCAGAGAAATGGGGAATCCTGCTTCGAGCTGGCGGGATGCAGGGATGCTCACCAGAAAGTCCTCCAGATGCAGGGGTGGCCGCCCTGGGGGTGGCCGGTCCAGGAAGAGCTGCAGGGTGGCATTTAGCGCCGCTTCCTCGGTCAGGTCCTGGTGGGTGATGGAGCCGGGAGCAGCCAGAAGGCTCCAGATGTTGGGAAAGAAAGCAGAGGTGGGGAGCAGGAGCAGCAGCAGCAGCAGGAGCACGGAGGGGCCCGGGTGGGACGGGGGCATGTGCTCAGGGAGCATCGCTGGGACATGGACCTGGACATGGACAGAGCTGTCAGGGGCACGCTCGGCTCTTGGTCTCCATGGCAACTGCTCTGGCCCCTTCTTCCGCTCTGCCTGCGGCTCCTGGGCTGCAGCCCAGCCTCCCGGCTCCGAGCCCTCACCAGGCGTATAAACAGGCACCTGCGAGAGCCAGCAGGAACTCTGCCCCTGGGACCTTCCTCCACGCCCCCTGGTTGCCCCCCAGCATACGGGAGTCCGAGTCTCCCTGGGCTGCTCCCCTACCTGGTGGCTGCGTCTCCGGCACGGCTGAGGCAGAGCGTCAGAGGGCACTTAGGTCAGTTATAATTAACCTAAGCGGACTGAGGGGAGGGAGGGAGGCCGTACCGGGCAGTGGGGTGGCAGAACACGCAGTACTGGACCCTCTGCTCATGCCTGTCCAAGGGCACGGGCAGTAGCGGCGGCAGGGCGGGCCTCCCTGGGGCGCAGTGCGGAGGTGAGTGAGGAGCTGGGAGGAGGGAGCGAGCGAGCGAGCGAGCGGGCGGGCGGCGTGACTCAGGCCTGGATGGGTGCCAGGACAGACCCAGGCGCTTGCACCTCTCTGCCCACCGGGCCCCAGCTGTGCCCTCCGAGGACTCGGGAACCCAGCCCCAGCCACACCTCCCCGGCCCCAGCACACACAAATCAGGAGAGAAAAGATGGTTTTGTGGCAAAATATTTTATTGCTGCCACCCCCCTGGTGGGCCACGGGGGTTGTGAGGGTTGGAGTCGTGTGTCACAGCATCTTCTGAAACAGGGCGATAGCCTCGTCCACCTTCCTGAGCTCTGCTTCTGTCTGTTGGAGCTGGGGACAGATGGGGGCAAAGGGTAAGGAAACCCGAGGGGAACAGTGGGGGCCATGGGAGTTGGGGAGTGTGCAACAGCTGGTCCATGCGCCCCCACTTGTACCCCCTTGCTTTTCTGACATCTCTGCCTCCAGGCTCCTGCCCATCAGTCTCCAAGGACATGGGGTCTCAGAGCCCAAACACCCGGCAGCAACCCCAACCCCCGGTGCCGTCCTGGGCAGGAGATACAGGGTTAGGCCCGAGGCCTTCCTCTGTAAACTGGGGATCCATACTGCCGACCCACAAGCTCTGGGAGAACCCCAGAGGCAGCCCTTAGCTGCAAGGCTCAACTCTGGCCCTGCTGGAGTCCTGACTCCATGAGAGTCAGCGCACTCTCCTCCCCAGAGGGTCCTGACTGAACCGACCCGAGCAGTTCCAGGAACGGGCAGCAGGTGACACTTGGCCCCAGCCCACCCCGTCTCTGCCTGCTGGTGACTCAGAGCTCCTGCTTGGGGGACCCGGGCTCTGTGCTCCCCTCTGATGGCCTAAGTGGGCTGACTGAGGGGACTAGGGGCCGACACGCCCCCCCCCACGACCCCCCAGCACACACCTTGGCTTCATCCGCCTTCTGCACCTCGAGAGGCACCTTGACGGGGTAGCCAGAGGCGGCGCGGCGCTCCCGCAGTCGCAGGGCCTGCCGCTGAGCCTCGCCGCGCTTGGCCTGCAGCTTGCCCAGCTCTCGGGCCGGGTCCACCAGTCCCAGCAGCTGCAGGTGCACGGAGCAGCGGTCGGAGGCTACGGCCACAGCACAGCCCTGCGGGGCAGGAGCACCCAGGGCCAGAACGGCCACCACGCCTGCGCTGGCCAGGGCCTGCACGTAGCTGGACACGGCCGAGGCCAGGGCGCCCGTGGCTTCATCGGCCACTTCCAGGAAACCTGCAGGGAAGGGAGGATGGTGAAGCTGGTCCCCGGCGGCTATGGGACAGGGCAGCCACGCGGGCAGCGGGCGGGCGGCTCACAGTCGGGCCGGATGCGGGTGAGGTTGTAGTCGGCTCGCAGGTAGCGCACGGCACGGGTGATGCTCAGGGCCAGCTCCATGGCGGCTTCTGCCTCAGGGTCCTTCCAGCAGCACTGTGGGGAAGAGGAGGGGGTGAGACAGGCGGGCAGCGGCGACGGGCAGTCCCCGTGGGTCACAGCCCCCTACCTCCGAGGGCTCCGGGTACGCAGTGACACAGAGGCTGGGGGGCGCCTGTGGAGTCCGCCGGGGCAGCCGCTGGAACAGTTCCTCGGTCACAAAGGGCATGAAGGGGGACAGAAGCCGCAGGCCGACGTCCAGGCAGGTGTAGAGGGTCTGGCGGGCACAGTCGGCAGATGCCTGGTCCACCCCATTCAGCACGGGCTTCAGGCACTCCTGGGGGACAGGACACACGGCTCAGGGCGACGACCGTCCAGCTCCGCAGGGGCCAGGAGCGGGCAAGTGGGCTCCGGTCTCGGCCCAGACACCCCGTTGCTCCTCACCAGGTAGACGTCACAGAGCTCATAGAGCCAGAAGCTGTACTGGGCAGTGGTGACCGCGGGGAAGTCGTAGGCCTGGAAACCCTGATTGCTGAGCCTCACGGCCTCTGTCAACCGGCTCCGGATCCAGCGGTCCACCAGGCTCTCCTGGCCTCCAGGCTTGGGGGAAGGGGACAGGTGAGCCTCATAGGCCCAGGGGAGAGAAAACCCCACGGAAGCACGAGCCAGCAACAATTCTGAGTTCCCGGGGCCTGAGGATGGGGAGAAGGGACAGCGCCCCCCAACCCATCTCTGGGGACGATAGTCCCTGAGCTGCACGAAGGTTCCTGAGGGCAGAGGCTGGTCTCCTGATCTAAGAGCCAGGACTGAGGCAGGCTGGGACATTCGTGATGCAAAAGGTGGGATGCCCAGGAGGGTACCTTGGAGGTAGGTGAGGGCACAAAGCCCTTCCCGAGGCCACGGAGGGCGAATTTGGTGGCATTCCAGAGCTTGTTGCAAAAGTGACGGTATCCCAATATCCGGTTCACATCCAGGTTGATGTCTCGGCCTGGGTGGGAGTGAAGGGTGAGCCCTCCAACTATCATCCCTCCTATACACACCGCCAGGGAGGGGCAGGGGTGGAGTTCGGACCGTACCCTGGGACGTGTAAGCGCAGAGTCCGAAGCGCAGGGCATCAGTGCCACACTCGGGGATCCCCGCCGGGAAGTCGGCCTTCTGCAGGGAGGGCACAGGGCCATCCTGAGCCGCGCCCCAGCCCCGCTGCCCACACCCCAGGCCGGGCGCGGCCACCCTGCGCCCTGTACCTGTCCTTCTTTGGCCCGCTCCACCTCGCTGGGGTCCAGGTTGCTGTTCACTAGCTGGTCGTGAAGGCCCTGAGGGTGAGGTGGGGGCGGTCAGGGGCCCTGGCTGTGGCCGTGGCCCCACAACCCTCCCTGGCCCGGGCCAGCCCCTGCCCCACCTGCAGGGAGACCCCATGGATGACGTCCAGGGGATCGATGACGTTGCCCAGAGACTTGCTCATCTTCCGGCCGTGGGCGTCTCGCACGATGGCGTGGAGGTAGACCTGCAAGGCCAGCAAGGGAGGTTTGTCCCCAGCCTTGACCCCACCACGGTTGGTCTGGTTCCCCCGCCCTGCTCTGGGCCTCAGGCCACTCAAGGTCCGTCCCCCACCCACCCACCCACCCACCATCCTCGTGGGACCGGAGGCCCCATAACCCCCGGCCCAAGCCGCCGCCCGCACCTCTCTGAAGGGCAGCCTGCCCGTGAGCCGCAGGCCCAGCATGACCATTCGGGCCACCCAGAAGAAGAGGATGTCGTGGCCGGTCTCCAGCAGCGTCCCCGGGTAGAACACGCTCAGGTCTTCTGACTGCGGGTACAGTGGGGTGAGCTGGGAGTCAGGCTCCCCCCACATGGCCGGTTCCCCAGGTCGTTCCACAGCTTACCGGGTTGGGCCAGCCCAAGATGGAGAAGGGGAAGAGACCCGAGGAGAACCAGGTGTCCAACACATCCTCATCTGTTGACGCCGCCAAAGTTCAGAGGTCAGAGGGTGCTTAGTGCCCCCCACCCCGTCCCGGCCCCCGGCCCCGCCTTGCCTTGCTGGAGGCTGATCTTGTCCGGGCTCACGCCAAACTCCTTGGCTGCCTTCTCACGGGCCTCGGCCTCACTGCGCCCGCTTACCCAGTACCGCTCGTCGGGGTCCTGCCAGGGGTGGAGTCAGCACCCGAGAGGGCACCTTGGTCTTATCCAACCCCCAGGACCCAACAAACTCCCTGGTCCCTCGAGTGAGCTCTCACCTCTCCCCGGGGCACAGCTGGGTCATGGATGGTGACAAAGTAGGCAGGGATGCGGTGGCCCCACCACAGCTGCCGGGAGATACACCAGTCCCTGTGGGTGCAGTGTGGGTGGTCAGGGGGGGCCTGAGCCAGCTAAGCCCGCACCAGCGCCCCGCTACACCGAGCGGCCCCACGCACCGGATGTTGTCCATCCAGGCATGCCATGTCCGCTGATGGGCCTCGGGCAGGATGCGGAGGTCGCCGCGAGTCACAGCAGCACTGGCAGCCTGGGCCATCTCCCCGCAGCGCACGTACCACTGCGGTCGCAGCAGGGGCTCCACCACGTCCTTGGAGCGGCTGTGGGTTCCCAGGAGCGTGAGGCCGTGATGAGCCCACGGGAGCCCCCTCTCTCCCGCCGCCCACCCACCCCCACCTTACTTGCAGAGGGGCACCACCATGGGGTTGTCCTCGATGCCACGGAACAGTCCCCGTTCCTTCAGTGCTGCCAGAACCGCCTTCCTGGCCTCAAACCTGGGCAGGCCCTGGGGGAGACAGGCCCGTCAGGCTGCCCATGCACCCCGCCCTGCTCGCCCCAGAGTCGGCCCTGCACCCCCGGGAGCTCACCAGGAATGGGGGAGGCACATTGATTAGGGCCCCGCGGGCGTCCATGATGCTGATGGCCTCCAGCCCGTGCCGCTGGCCGACTTCATAATCGTTCTGGTCATGCGCAGGCGTGATCTTCACCGCACCTGGGAGGGACGGGGGGGGGGGTGTACCCAGGACACAAGGGACTCAGTGGGGTCCCCTTCCACACGCACCTCCCCAGACCATGCAGTCCCAGGATGTGGCTCCAGACCCCAGCACACCCCGCCCTCCCAAGAGCGGCCAAGCCCTGCCCCTGGGCGGGGAGACAGGACAGGCGCGGTTCCTCTGCCCACAGAGGCTCACCCGTGCCAAACTCCATGTCCACAAAGTCATCGAAGACGATGGGGAGGGTCCGCGACAGGAAAGGGTGGACCACGCGCTTCCCCTTTAGGTGCTGGGACACAGGCAGGCAGCAGATGCTGGGGTGCTGGCAGAGCGTGTGACAGCACCCCACCACCCACACAGAAAGGCTGCGAGATGCAAAGGGTACGCCCCTCCATCCTGGTCGGGACCCCGACTCGCCCAGCACCCCAATTCCTTTTTTTTTCTTTTTGGGTCACACCCAGTGATGCTCAGGGGTTACTCCTGGCTCTGCACTCAGGAATGACTCCTGGCGGTGCTCGGGGGATCATACGGGATGCCGGGGATCGAACCCGGGCCAGCTGCGTGCAAGGCAAATGCCCTACCCGCTGTGCTATTGCTCTGGCCTCCCCAATTCCTTCTTGAAGACCAGAATCAAGTTCAAAGATGCTAATGCCATGCTGTCCCCTTAGCTGGGGCAGGCCGGCCATCCTCAGATACACACAAGTCCTCACCCTGGAGCGCCACCCACCCCCGCCTGCCATCTTTCCCCAGTGTGGGGGACCCTCATCGCACCTGGTATCTGGGATCTTTGGGGTGCACGGCCACAGCCACATCGCCCAGCATGGTCTCAATCCGAGTTGTGGCCACCACCACCTCCTCGTCACTGTCTGGGGTGACAGGGGATCTGAGGTCTGAGCACTGGCCGCATCCCCCCCCCACCCCTTATCCCCCAGCCCAGGAGGCTGATGGCCCAGTCCCTACCGGATCCTTGGACCTTGTAGGAGAAGGAGATGAGGACTCCGAACTCCACCTTCTCCTTGTAGCCAGGCACGGTGAGCAGGGTCCGCCCCGTCAGCTCCTTTTTGTCCACCTGGGGGGACGGGTTACCAGAGGCGGCCATGGGCTGGGGCTCGGGTTGGGGCTGGGCAGGCCCGGGAAGGGGTGCACACCTCGATGTCGGAGATGGCGGAGTTGAGGGTGCAGGACCAGTTGACGAGGCGGGTACTGCGATAGATGACGCCCTCCTCGTGGAGCCGGACAAAGGCCTCCGTCACAGCTGCTGAGAGTTTCTGCGGGAGTCAGAGACAGGTGAGGGTGAGGGTGAGGAGGGGTGGTGGGGTGGTGAGGCACAGCCTGTGCGGAACCCCATGCTCAGCACACATGCTCCCTGAAGAGCTGGAGGACTGCAGCTGGGGCTCTGCAGGACAGGACACCAGGATGACAGTGGCATACGGCCACCCCAGACTGACCGGGGCAGACTCCCCCCAAGGTCCCCGAGCGGACAGCTGGGAGAGCCACAGGCCACATGGGGAGGGAAGGGGCGCCTGCCGCTGCTCACTTTCTGTGAGCGTGGTCCCCTCCAATGGGAGGGTCAAGGACCCCGCCCGAGACACCCCTACTCACGGGGTCCATGGTGAAACATGCTCGACCCCAGTCCAGTGAGCTGCCAAGCTTCTTCAGCTGGTGGTAGATGCGGTCGCCTTTCCTACAAGGGCCCAGACAGGAAGGCATCACTGCTGGGGCGCAGCCCCTGAAGGAGATGGTGGGGTGGGGACTGCTCCTGCCCTGGGACCTGCTCCCTGTGGCCTGTGAGGGCCCGGGGACGCCGACTCACTCTTCCTTCCACTTCCAGACCTCCTGCAGAAAGGCCTCGCGGCCCAGCTGGTGCCGGTTCACGCGCTGTTCACGCCAAAGTTTCTTTTCCACCACCACCTGCGTGGCAATGCCTGCATGGTCGCAACCAGGGTTCCACAGGGTGGTTTCCCCACGCATGCGGTGCCTGCGGGAAGCAGGAAGAGCATGTGAGCAGCCTGTGAAGCCTGCATGGGGGGGGAGGGGAGCTTCCGGAAAGGGCGTCTAGGACTAGAAAAAAGCAGGGCGGCAGAAAGGGAACTTCCTGATCCTGTTTTATTTGGGGGGATGGGGGCCACGGCTGGTGGTGTGCAGGGCTTATTCCTGGCTCAGTGCTCAGGAATCACACCTAGCAGGGGTTTGGGGATCATTTGTGATGCCAGGGATTGAACCTGGGTCAGCCACCTGCGAGGCAAAAGCCTGACCTGCTATACTACCTTTTTAGCCCTGACCCTTCCGATTCTAAACTTACTGTCAGGGAGGATGTGCAAGAAACGCCACGGCAATTGGGTACAAGAGCAAAGGAGCTGGAGAGACACATGATACTCCTGCCACTTAATTTTTTTTTTCTTTTTGGGTCACACCGGCAGTGCTCAGGGGTTACTCCTGGCTCTGCACTCAGGAATTACCCCTGGCAGTGCTTGGGGGACCATATGGGATGCCAGGAATCGAACCTGGGTAGGCCGCGTACAAGGCAAACACCCTACCCGCTGTGCTATTGCTCCAGCCCCACTCCTGCCACTTAAGAAGGACAAACAACAAATTTGGTTGGAAGAACTAGCTAGAAAATTTCCCCACCATCCAATAATCACAGAGAATTCTAAGAGCTGGAAGAGCTGCAAGGGCTGGTAGGCACTTCGCATGCTGGAGTCCCGAGGTAAATTTAAACACAGGACTGCATGGTCCCCAAGCACTGCTGGGAGTGACCCCTGAGCATGAAACTAGGAGACTAGGAACCCCCCTGAGCCTGGTCTGGCCCCACATCAAAAAACCCAATAAACCAAAGACTCATTCTGAGCAAAATACTAGGGTGAGTTTTCTTTTGTAACAAGATACAGAAGATGAAGCGACAAAGAGAAATTTTAAACTGATTCGATCAAAAGTAAAACCTCCAACAGCAAAACTCCCAGGTTAGAAAAACGAAAGGGCCAAAGAACAAGCACAGCAGCTAAGGAGATTGCCTGGCACGGCCGACTCAGGTTTGATCCCCGACATGACATAGGTTCCCCAAGCCCCACCAGGAGTGATTCCTGAGTGCAGAGCCAGGAGGAAGCCCTAAGCACTGCCGGGTGTGGCTCAAAATAACAACAAAAAAGAAACCCAGAAAACACCACCACCACAACAAAACTGGACAGTACAGCTGGCTGGGCATTTCCCTTGAACCAGGCAGACTCAGCTCCCATCCCTGGCATCCGATATGGTCCTCAGAGGACCACCAGGAGTAATTCCTGACTGCAGAGCCTGAGTAATCCCTGAGCACTGCAGGATGTGACCCCAAAACAAAATAGTAAGCCTATTGAGACACCATTTTGCAGCAAATGACAGGAAACTAATGCTGTCTCAGGTACTAATCATGAGATAAATGAGACTCCACTGCCACACTCTGGATGCAGTGGATGCAATTTGCTCTTTGGATTTACCTTAATTGACATAAAGCAATAAATACATGGGCGCGGAGAGACAGTACAGCAGCTAGGGTGTTTGCCTGCACCCCAGAGCTTAGCCAGGAATAAGGTCTGACTACTACTGGGTATGGCACCCTCTCCCCTCCCCAACAAAAAAAACCCCACTAACCACAAATCAATATTTTGGATGATCTTTTAGAATTGCTAGGCATGTCAATGCAGGGAGAAAAAATTACCACAGAAAAACAATGCTGCATTCACACATTATCTTCAATGACTCATCAAACTGTGAGATTCATTACTGGAAGACCTTGTTTATTCCCAAGATGTTAAGATCTCCTTGGGGACAGGGATTATAGCAACTCTATCCTCTTGTAGATAAAGACACTCAGAAAGGTGAACATGCCATAATGAACAGGAATGCATCTATACGCGTGGTTGTTTTCTTTGGGGGGGGGGGCACACAAACCCTGAGTGCTTGGCTACCCCCAGCTCTGTGCTCTAGGCTACTCAGGAACAACACAGGACTGGGGGTTAAATTCACTGGACAATCTCTCTGGCCCCTAACGAGAACATATGCCATGAACTCTATGATGAAGCTATGGGGCTGGAGTGATAGTACAGCGGGTAGGGCATTTGCCTTGCATGCGGCTGACCCGGGTTTCATCCCCGGCATTCCATAGGGTCCCCGGAGCACCAGGAGTAATTCCTGAGTGCAGAGCCAGGAGTGACCCAAAAAAGAAAAGAAAACAAAACAAAACAAGATGAAGCTGTGAGCGAAGCATAAGAAATGAAGATAAGTCAAAGAGCCAGAGCCTGTGCTCTGCAAGCGGGTGCCACGGTTCTGGTTCCCACTCAGCAAAAATAATTGTTTCTCTAAGAAAAAAATCACTCCTATGGGCAAAGGGAACCTTATGGGAGCGCTGGGGATTGAACAGGTTGATAAGGGCAAAGACTTTCAGATTCTCTGCTGCACCATCTCTCCAGCCATTTCACTAAAGATCATCTCTTGGGGCTCACAAAACTTTGGCACAAAGTAAATAGTATAAATATTGTATAAAAATACCCTGCTCTCTACAGAAAAAAGAAAAATATATAGCCACACAACTACTTCTTGTTATTTACTTCGCTTGTATAATATTCCATTATTGGAGATACTCCATGTTATTTTTCATTAGAGTGTTGCTATTAAAAGTAAAATGGGGTTGAAGAGACAGTCCACATGGCAAGGTACTTGCCTTGCATGTGGCCTACTAGGTACAATCTAGCCCCAGCACCGCATAGGGGCTCCCAAGCACTGCCAGGAGTGATCCCTGAGTGCAGAACCAGGATAAGCCCTGAGCACAGCCAGGTGTGACCCCAACATTTAAAAAAAATAAGAAGAAAAAGATTGGTATGGAGAGCTAGAACAAGGATCTATGGTGCTAATCTTGCATGGGGCCCTGGTTGGATCTCTGTACTGCAGATGATGCCCTGAGCACTGGCAAGGGTGACCCGCATCACAGAGCCTGGAGTAACCCCTGAGCTTCACTGAGAGTAGCCCAGAAACCCACCTTCCCCTGGAAACATGAAAAAAAACCTTTTTTGTGGTGTCAGGGATCAAACTTGTGGTATCATATATGCAAGTCAAGTGCTCTATCACTTAAAATACTTTCTGGGCCAGAGAGATCGTACAGGGCTAAAGGCATCTGCCTTTCTTGAGGCTGAACCCAGTTCAATCTCCAGCACCACTCATGGTCACACGAGGACCAGGAGCACAGAACCATGAGTGCCATGGGAGCACCAGTAGTCAAAAGGGGAGAAAAATCTTTTTTAAAAAAACGTACTTAGGGGCTGGAGTGATAGCACAGCGGGTAGGGAGTTTGCCTTGCATGCAGCCAGCCCGGGTTTGATTCTCAGCATCCCACATGGCTCCCTGAGCACCGCCAGGAGTAATTCCTGAGTGTAGAGCCAGGAGTTAACCCTATGCATCGCTGGGTGTGACCCAAAAAGAAAAAAAAAGTACTTAATGCCTTAACCCTTAAACTCTTTCTAACCACAGCATATTAATTTGGGTCTCCCAAATTTACTTAGTCTATAATTGAGTGAAAGCCTTACCAATGACACCAATAGCTGATAAATATGTATTTTTAAAGTTATTTCATATTCCATACTGCACTATTAAAGTAAGCTAGAGGAAAGGAAATTTTATTATTTTTTTTTTTAATTGCAAGGTGAGGGATAGGTACCCGATCATTGTATAACTGAAACTCAAGCACAAAAATTTGTAAGTCTACAACTGTACCTCATGGTGTTTCACTAATAAAAATTTAAAAAAAAAACAACAACAAAAATCACAAGGTGGTCAGTGGCTTTAAGAATTTTCCTGGACTTCACCCTTTGGAAAGATGACCATCTGCCCTGATCGTATAGACCTACTACAGTCTGGTTTCTATGTTACAGTAAAAATCAGTCCCCAACCACTGTCAAAAAAAAAAAAAAATTGCCTGGGGGGGGCTAGAGCAATAGCACAGCAGGTAGGGCATTGCGGGATCAATTCCCAGAATCCCATATGGTCCCTTGAGCACCTCCAGGAGTAACCGCCCCCCCCCCCCCCCGCACTGCTGAGTGTGACCCAAAAACAAAAACAAAAACAAAAAAAGAGAACTTGCCTGGCCATGCCATTATAAGCTCATTATTGGCCATGATGCAGACTCAAATAAATCTCTCCAAGAGAGCAACATGAGCAACAAGCCAGAGATACCCCCAGACTGCAGCAGGCTGCCTTATCCGGGGCAACTGGAGCGGGGCAGGTGAGCCCCCTCCCCACCTGCACCAACTAGTAACTAGTCCCAGCAGCCAAAAACCTCCAGAACTCAACTGCCACCATGCTCATGGCCGATTTCCAAAGGCTCAGATGAGCCTCATCCATGAGTGAATCTGCTGAAAGTCCCAGTTATGTGGGACGAGTGACTGAAATCTCCACTCACACGGAGTCAGGAATGGGTGTCCTACCCCCATTTCCCTGTCCTGGTGGTCACGCCCATGAACTCCTCCGGTGTCATATAAACTCATTAATGAACATGATCCCAGAGACTCCAGAAATAAATCTCTTGGAAAAAAGCAACACAAGAGTAACACGCTGCAGAGATGTTCCCGGACCCCAAAGTCAGCATCTAGTTAAAAAAAAATTAATTAACCTCAGCTATATCACCCTATTTAAAATTTTAGAATTCCTGTAGTGACATCTCATACTCTACCCCACTGATGTACCAAAACAAGGGTGTGATGGCTCCAAGGTGAAATACAACAATCTTCACACACTTTTCTCTAAGGAAACTTTTTGGGTTCATTTGTAGCAGAATATTCATAATAAGCAATACAAAATAAATTATTTAGGTCTTGATTTGGAGGCAGGCTTTGGGGCTTGGGGTGGGAAGTTGTAATAGTGATGGGATTGGTGTTGGGATTTATATATAATAAATTATTGTGAACAACTTTATGAAAATAAAATTACATTTCAAAAAAGTCAATGTCTCTGTCCACCTGTTGTTGTTCATCGATTTGCTTGAGTGGGCCCAGTAACGTCTCCATTGTGACACTTGTTACTGTGTTTGGCATATCGAATACGTCATGGGTAGCTTGCCAGGCTTTGCCTGGGTCGGCAAGGTTGGCTACATGCAATGCAAACGCCCTATCCACTGTGCTAAAATAGTACTTAATGTATTTATTTGGACCACTCCGAGCGCTGCTTGGAGGATTATTCAATAAGGGTTTTTGGACTCCTACCTGCAAAGCACATGCTCCAGCCCTTTGTGCCATCTACCCAGCTCTTCAAATACTTATTTTAAAATTTTACTTATTGTTTTTATTTGTGGGCTGGAGCATTTGTCTTGCACGTGGCTGACCCGGGTTTGATTCCTCCGTCCCTCTTGGAGAGCCCAGCAAGCTACAGAGAGTATCCCGCCCACACGGCAGAGCCTGGCAAGCTCCCTGTGGCGTATTCGATATGCCAAAAACATAACAAGTCTCACAATGGAGACATTACCGGTGTCCACTCAAGCAAATTGATGAACAAAGGGAGGACAGTGCTACAGTTTTTATTTGCCGGGGAGGAAGTGGGGGTGTTCAGGGGTTCTGTGGGCCAGGCCTGGGGATTCTCAGCCATGAGGGGGTAGGGGGTGGTTTCATAGCGAGGGCCTGAGAATACAACGCTGCCAAGTGCCTGAAGGGTGCAATACCCCTCTCTGAAGCCACCAGAACCACACCAGGGGACTCCAGGGCTGCACCTTTGGTGCTAGGGGAATGGGGATAGCATAAGAGTCCAACTGAATCAAGGTTGGGGTGTACGCAAAGCATGTGCCTTAACCCCTGTGCTATCTCTGCACCTCAAATACTTTATCAAATTTTTTTTTAAGGCCCTCCCGTTGATCATCGATTTGCTCGAGCGGGCCCAGTAACATCTCCACTGGAGACTTTGTTGTTACTGTGTCTGGCATATCGAATACGTCACAGGGAGCTTGCCAGGCTCTGCCATGCGGGCGAGATACTCTCGGTAGCTTGCTGGGCTCTCCGAGAGGGGCGGAGGAATCGAACTCGGGTCGGCCAGGTTGGCTGCGTGCAAGGCAAACGCCCTACCGCTGTGCTATCGCTCCAGCTACAATCAAAATTCGTAGTTAGCTAATTTGAGTATTTATACCAGGGGCTGGAGTGATAGGGCAGTGGACAGGGTGTTTGCCTTGTATGGTGTAGAGGATCTGTACTCAATCTCCAGTACCCTATATTGTCCCCCAAGCCCTGACAGGAGAGATACCTGAACAGAGCCAGAGTGATCCCTGAGTCCCAGTAGGTATGGCCCAAAAAGAAAAAACAATAAAAAAATAAATAAAACCAAGCCTTCAAAATAAATACAACATAGGCTTGCTAGTCTGTTATCAGAAATAACAAATGCACTTTTTTTTTTGCATGGGAGATTAGAAGGTTGCTGGGACAGGCTTAAGTAAAAGAACAACAACAAAAAAACAAAGCGACTCCATTATAGTATTGTATTTCACACTCTGAAATAAGCGGTGAAAACAAAGTGAGTCTACACATAGGGATAAGATAAACGACTCAGAGTGAAAAGGGTTGGGGATGTGGCTCTGTGGCACAGGGCCTGCTTTGCATGCACCGAAAAATTAAAAAAATAAAAAAATAAATAAAAAGAGTAAGAAGAAAAGGGCAGTGTCTGATGTGAGCCCTTTTGGTTAAGCAGGAGAAGAGAAAATGCTGCCCAAATGAAAACATTTCTATGGAAGCATGATTATAAACTTCCACATCAAAGTGATGACAATGCAGGGGCTAGAGCAATAGCACAGTAGGGCATTTGCCTTGCACGTGGACAACCCGAGTTCAATTCCCAGCTTCCCATATGGTCCCCCAGCAACGCCAGAAGTAACCCCTGTTCATCGCCAGGTGTGACTCAAAAAGATAAAAAAAAGTGATGGCAATGCAGAGACAGGCGACAGCTCTGGGGTCAGAGCACATGCCTGCATGAACGAGGCGTTTGGCAACCACATGGTACCTAAGCGCGGCCAGGCTCAGCACAGCCGGGCTCAGCCACCTAAACCAACCAGCACACTGCAGGCCTGAATATTACTAGGAGTGGCCCTGAACACATCCGGGGAGCCCCCACTGGCTAAAACAAAATAAATAAACCAAGTAATAATGCTAAATCTGGAGGGGCGCTTCCTATTTGTTTTGAGGCGCTTAGAGGTATTGGGCTGAACCCAGCTGTACTCTGGGGCTACTTGGGGCTGTGCTCAAGGGCAAAATGCAGTGCCAGGAATCAAACCTGGGTCAGCCACATGCAAAGCAAGATCCTTAACTCCTGTAGTAGCTATCTGGCCTGAATTTTTTCTTTTCGTTCTTTGTTGCTTGAAGGTGGGAGGGGGCGGGGGGAGGTACACCTGCTGGCAGCGACTAGGGGGACCACATGTAGTGCTGGGGATGAAACCAGGTCACGGTGTGCAAGGTAAGTACCTCAACCCTCAACCTACCTCTCTGGCCCTGATATTAATTTCTTTTTTTCTTTCTTTTTTCTGGGGGGGCTTTTTGGGTCACACCCAGCGATGCACAGGGGTACTCCCAGCTCATGCACTCAGGAATTACTCCTGGCGGTGCTTGGGGACCATATGGGATGCTGGGAATCGAACCCGGGTCGACCGCGTGCAAGACAAATGCCCTACCTGCTTTGGTATCGCTCCAGCCCCCTGATATTAATTTCTTACAAGAAGAATTTATTCACAAATTTTGTATTTAATTCAAAGTGTTAATTTTAGTAACGAGAAGGGAGATTTCAGATGGGGCGCTGGTTACCTGACTGGTGAAGGATGAGTAGATGGGACCCACCACTCCCAGGGGGCAGAGCTGAGGGACAATCAAGGAGGGGTGCCCCTTCCGGGGAGAGGGGAGCAAGAGCAGAGAGCGGAGAGGGGGAGTTCAGAGCTCACCACCGCGTGAGGGAGTCCTGGATGGCATTGGTGAGTGCGTGGCCCAGGTGCAGGGAGCCTGTGACGTTGGGAGGCGGTATGCACATCATGAAGATGCCCCGGGGGTTTGGCGCTGACACACTGGATCGCTGTTGGGGGACAAGGATGGTGCATACTAAGGCCTCACAAGTCCTCTAGCCAGCCTGCGCCTGGCCCAGCGGCCCTCAACCCTGCCGCAGACCCTTCTGGCCCACTCACCCCGTACTCTGGCTTGAAGAAGCCTTGCTGCTCCCACCAGGGGTACCAGGCTGCCTCCACGTACTGCGGGCTGTAGGAGTCCGGCATGGCGCCACTGACATCTGCGAGAGGGGACAGGACAGCTCATGCCAGGGCCGAACGGTGGCAAAGGGGATCCATGGTCGGGGACTCACGTCAGGCTGCACCCCGGGAGGCTGGACGGTGCAGCAAATCCTCACCCCGGGGCGCAGGGGACAGGACAGAGCACGAAGGGGTGAAAATAGCCGAGGGGGGTGGGTGGAGGAGAAGACTGGGGGTGCCGTCCCCTTCCTAGTACCTTTCTTTTCCCCAGGCGGAGTTGGGAGATCGTAGGTAATGACGCCAGGGTCGCGCTTCTCCCTCTTCTCGGGTTTTGCTTTCTTCTGCTTGGAAGAGAAAGTCAGCCCATTATGTGGCAGCCCAGAGGGGTCCCCACCTTGCCCCCCCCACCTCCCCGAGCTATCACCTCCCCCGGAGGCGGCTGCTGCTGCTGGATCTTCTGCTTATTCTGGAATTTCTCTAGCTTCTCCCGCTTCTTGGCCTCTTTCTTGAGTTGAGCAGCTGTCTTTTGGGGTGCAGGAACCTCAGAGCCTGGAGACACAGACATACAGACTGAGCCTGCTGGGGACCCTCTGCAGGGGTGCTCCCAGCTCTGACAGGCTATCGCGATGGCCTGTCCCCCAAGACTGTCCCCAAGCCCCTGACCCGTGATTGCCCCTCCCTAAGAGCAAGTGTTTACATACGGTCTCGGATGAACACCCCCGATTCCTCTACCCCCACAGGCCCTGCCATCCTCACCTGCCTGTTGGGAGGCGGGCCTGGTGCCGGCATACAGAACCACTTCCCCTAGCACAGCCCGGAATTCCGGCTGCTGGACACACGTGGTAAACCAGCGGGTCACATTACCCCAGATGCGGCGGGCAGCGGGGTCCAGGACCTGGGATGGGGGACAGGTATGAACTACCCTTGGTCACCTTATGGCAGTCTGAGGGGAGCAGCCCTCCCTCCCGAGGCCCCGGGGACTCACGTATCTAAAAGGCAGAAGCAAGGCGGTGACAGCTGCCAGATCAGCCAGGGTCGGGGCCTCCCCTGCCAAGTAGGTGTGTGTCCGAAGCCATTCTTCCAGAGGGCTCAGCGCCCGGCCCAGGGCCCCCAGCGCAGCCTAGCGAGAACCAAAGGGTAAGAGGCACAGCTTAGTCCTCTCTGTCCCCGAACCCCTACCATTTGGCCTTTGTTAATTCATCGGCTTTTTCTTCATTAAAATATCATTTAAAAAACAAAACCTGGGGCTGGAGAGATAGCACAGTGGGTAGAGCATTTGCTTTGCATGTGGCCGACCCAGGTTCGATTCCCAGCATCCCATATGGTACCCTGAGCACTGCCAGAAGTAATTCCTGAGTGCATGAGCCAGGAGTAACCCCTGTGCATTGCGGGGTGTAATCCAAAAAGAAAACACACACACACACACACACACACACACACACACACACACAAAACCTTCCCATTCTGGGGCTGAATAGTACTGAGGGCAAAGCACTTATCCTTGTATGCAACTGATCTCGGTTTGATCCCCGGCACCCCATATGGTTACCCAAGCCTTGCCAGGGGTGATGAGCCTGGGGATTAAGCCCTGAGCACCGCTAGGTGTAGCCCCAAAACCAAAACCAAAAAAAATTCAGGAAAGGCCGCTGAACATTTACTATGTGTCAGGTACAATGTATCAAGCTCAAGGAGGATACAGAGTATAAGAGGCAACATACTAACTGCTCTGACAAATACTTTTAAGCACCTTTCTCCATGCCAGGCACATCCTAACGAATAAGGGGACAAAAGGAGCAAATGGAGCTTCTGACCTGGCCGAATTTAGTTTCCAGAGAGGGAGGCAATAGAGCTATAAACCTACAACACCCTGTTTTTCCCTAGAGGTGCTATGAAGTCTCCAGACTGAGGGAGATGGGGGATTTTGAAGAAGGGGCATCTATTTTAGTAGGGTGACCAGGGTATGAGGAAGCAAGTGAGGGACTTAGTCCCATATTTCATTCATGCATTCATTCAAAAATGCTAAATATCTTCCACGTGCTCAACTGCAAGGAGGCAGTGTTAGAAGGGCCTTGAAGCACAGCCCCAGTGGGCGGAGGAGATAATCTTTCCTTTCCAGGGACCCACTTCTTCCTCATTTCATTTTTCCTTATCTCCCAGACACTGTCATCTCTCCAGGACTACCTGTCTTTCCTCATACCCCGCCCCTCCCATCCTAAATCCCATCCTAAAGACTTTCTCTAAATCTCCAGCAATCTCTTTTCTCAGCAGCTTTGGACTCATGGGACTTTCAGGGACTTGTAAAGGCCCTGGCCCTAACTAGATTATGCTCTGCACACATCCTTCAAATCTTCAAGATGATTCTAAATTTATGCATACATTTGTTTTTCCTCCCAATTTTCAGTCAGGGGACCTGGAGGCCACTTCCAGCAGTACTTGGGCAACCAGCTGGCAGTGCTCCGGGCCCATATGGTGCCCTGGATTGAACCGATTCAGGCATATGCTAGGCATGTGCCCTAACCACTGTACTTCTCCAGGCCCTGCATCTCAACTCAACAGGAAAATGAAAGTTTTCATAGTAGAAAGCACCGGGGCCTGGGAGTTTAAGAAGCAAGTATAAGGTGACCATACCAGGTGGCCATCTGGAATTTGATCCATCCTTTTTCTACACCAATGACATCCCATTCTTGCTCCCTTCTAAACCTCCCCCTCGTGCTCTGTCTCCCCACTCACCTGGGGGTCCTGGGCAGACATTCGGAGTCCCAAGGCTGGCAGCGTAGCTCCGCAGGCAGCCGGGATGAGCTCCGTGTCGGCATAACTGACCCACTGCTGGACGAGGACTGCGGCCCGGCTGCCCCCGGGGCCCCCCAAGCCTGCTGGCCATAGCAGCTGGGCCACAGCTGTCGCCCCCCACACCCACAGCCCACCCGGCCCTTGCTCCAGAGCCGGCAAGCGGGGAGGCGGGAACGGAGTCCTGCTGGTGGGGGGCGGCTGGAGGCAGATACGGGGGTGGGCTCCACCCCAGCCCGGCCCCTCTCCCGCCTCCCCATAGCGCGCAGCTATGAGGGCTCGCAGGCTGGGGAAGGCGTCGGGGTGAGGGGACACGTAGAGGATGGACATGGTGATGGGGGTCCGAACCAGGTGGAAACGACCTAAGGAGAGAGAAAGGGGCAGCCTCAGTGGACCAGGGTTTGGGGTGGGGGTGTCTTACTGGGAGCGGAGCCGAGACCCCGGTGCTGGGGCGAGGCTGCGGGGGATTCTCACGATCGCGACCCTCCGACGGGGTAAACGGCTGCGGGAGCCCCGCGTTGGCAGAACACGGGTTCGGGCCGCGGGTACGTACTGTAGGGAGGTCCGGCCCGAGCCGGGCGCCGGCCGAGCGGCCGGGGTGGAGGAGTCAGGCAGGTGGGGGTGGTAGATGGCTCTCCCGGCGACCCTCGCTCCCTGCGCCGGCCACCGGGCCGCGGCTGCCCACGTGTTCCCCCTTTGTGACAGCGAGCGCTTCCGGGCCGGGTCCTGGCGCGGGCGGCCGTGCCCCGCCTGCCCGTGCGCGCCGCGCCGCGCCCGCTGGGCTCCCGGGGCCGCGCCGCCGCCGCCGCGCCCTCGGGGAACGCCCCCGCGGGGGCGCCGAAGCCCGCCGAGGCCCCGGCCGCTGCCGTCCGCTCAGGCGCCGCCGCGGACACCCCGCACGGGTCCTCGGCGGGAGGCGGTGCCGGGCGGCGGCCGCGGAAGCGCCGCGAGCCTCGCTCCGGGCGGCGGGAGGACCTGTGCCCTGGCAGCGACGCCGGGGCACGGGGGCCCCACTCCCCGCGGGAGCCCCAGGCCAGCCAGTGTGAGCCCTCCTACCCAAACTAATAAGTCCAGTGCGTACATCTCTGCAGCCCAGATTTCTGAAGTTTAGACCCCCGTGCGCCCAGCTCGGACCCTTTCTCTCCTTCGGGGCCTTTGCGCCCGCTGGTGTCTGCAGAGCACCCTTTCTTCAGCCAGGTCGGCTCTGTGTCTCTCCCAAAGTCCCCACTGCTGCTGCCCGCTGTTCCCAGATCTCTTCCCATAAGCCCCTGCCCTTAACTCTTCTCATGCCGTAGAAATTAGCTGCTTTTTCCTCACTTCTCAAAGCAACTTGATGTCAGATATCAACAATGTGCCCAGCACCCACCACAATGTCTAGAAGTACTTAGCATAGCCTAGGTTCTCAATGCACAATGTTTTTCAAAAATCTCCTTAGAGCCGGAAAGATCGTGGGTAAGACACTTACAAGGAGGTGTCTAGGAGTCGATCCCAGGCACCCCATATGGTCATACAATACCCCGGAGTGATCCTAGAGCGCAAAGCCAGAAATAAGTCCCGAGTATCACCTACCAGGTGCATCCCCTACCCCGCCAAAGTACAGGTTAGTTGGAGAAACCTCACAGTATCAAGTACACCTTGGTGTCCCAGATATCACAGATAGCTCAGCGTACACTGAGTGGGTGGGGTTGGTATAGTATAAGCAAAATCTGTATTCAAGACACAGTGCGGGGGCCCAGGAGGATGGCTCCGGTGGCTGAGAACACTTGCCTTGCAAGTCTAAGGCTGAAAGTTCTGTCTGTGATACCACTACATGCAGTGAGCGCGATCGGGGCACTTCCACTGGGTCATACTGCCTACAAACCCTGAGTCAGCTGTGTGTGCAAGCCCTGGTCAGTGCAACGAGAAGATTTGTGAGCGCTAATCAGAGTGTGAACCCCAGCACTACAGCCAGAATGTGTGTGAAGGGAGTGAACTTTTGTGAGCACCGCTCGTGTGTGGGAACACTACAAGTTGATGTGCAATAGCCAGTAAACACACCTCGCCCTGCTCAAGGGGAAAAGGCAAAATTAACTTAAAAAAAAGAAACATGCTATAGTCCAGTTGAAGTTTATTTGGTTTACACCAAGGAAAGTATAACAGCTAATGCTGGGATGAGCTGAATTTTGGGCTGGAATAATAAGAGGGTTTAGACGAATTCAACATTCCTCTCCCATCTTCCAACGGTCAGTAGCCAAACACACTCAGAACCACAACTCAAATTTGCCATCATAAATTTTATTCCCGATGCGGGAGACAGATTCCTTCCATCCCAAAATGAATCACCTCCTGCCCTGATGAGATCTAGGGAGGGTCTCTGCTGCCCACGGAAAGGAGGGGGGGAAGGGCTGGCAGTTCCCTGGCCTATGGATCTAGTTTCCTGTTCTCAACAGAGGACAGTTGCCCCCCACTATTATTTTTTTTCACCTGTTCATTCTTCAAAAAAAACAAACAAAAGCCATGACAAAACAACACAGCACCCGACTGTCTAGGGGAGGGTCCTGGCTGGGCCAGGAGGGCAGAGGGCCGCGGGACTGTCACTGTTTCTGCTGCAGGGCCTCCTTCCTTGCTGCATCTTGTAGTAACTGTGTGTCAACCTCATCTGCTGGCAACTGAACATACCGGACCACGGAGCCCCGGATGAAGCAGTTCTTCACCGACAACTAAATGAAAAGAAAATGTGAAAACAACCTTACAAAGCTTGGACTCTAAGGGAAGTTCCCTCAGCACCATCATCTCCAAGAACTCACCATGTGGGGGTATTTCTCAGGGTCGGTGACACTGATATCCGTTAATTTGATGTTGAGATACTAAGAAAAGAAATGAAACACAGTGAGTCCTGGGAACAGGACACAATAAGGAGCCTGAAGCTGCTCCCTGGGGGCCAGAGCGAGCACGGGTGAGGCGTTGGCCTTGCATGCAGCCAGCCACGGTCCGATCCCTGACATCGTATATGGTGCCCTCACATGGCTAGGAGTGATCCCTGAGTACAGAGCCTGGGCAAGCTCCTGAGTACTGCTGGCTGTGGCCCCCACCCTGCCCCTGAAATGAAGCTCTTCTTCCTGTCCTTCCCCAAGATCAGGCCCTGGACCTTTGTTGTATCTCACCTGATCCACAGAATGGAGTGTTCCACAGATGCTGTCAGGGTCAAAAGGAAGGAGAACATTAGTTTACATCAAAGTCAACAAAGATTTCAGAGACAAGAACCTGGGTGAGGGAAACCTTAAAAATGAAGTTAAGGGGCCAGAGCAATAGAACAGCAGCAGTTGGGTGCTGGCCAACCCAGGTTCAATTCTGGGTATCCCATATGGTCCCCAAGCCCACCAGGAGTAATTCCTGAGTGCTGAGCCAGTAGTTACCCCTAAGCACTGCTGGGTGTGCCTCCCCCCATCCCCTCAAGAAAGTTAGAAGTTGGTAATACAAAGCTGTGGAATTGAAAAGACGGTACTTGCAGTGTATTAACTTTTTTTGACCGGGGGTGGGGGTGGGGGGCTGGCACGGAAGGCTATTTACATGTTGCGGTGCTCAGGGGTCACTCCTGGTAGACTCGGGACAATATGGGATTCCAGAGACTGAGCCTGGGTCAGTCGCATGCAAGGCAAGTATACTACAGCTCATGCCCAAGTGATGTTACTTTAGATCTCACACCTCTCCCTCAGGTTTTAGCCACTTCTCACAGGCAAAGGCAACTGCCCTACTACTAAGACACACCTCAGCTCCCCCCACATTAAAAAAAAAAATTGGGTCTTTATACACAGCAGTGCCCAGCAGTGCTCAGGAGTTACTCCTGGCCCTGCACTCAGGAATCACTCTGGGTGAGATTGGGGACCCATAGGGACACTGGAGATTGAGCCTAGGTTGATTGTGTACAAGGCAGGTGCTCTACCCACTGTACTATTGCTCTGAACCCTAAAATACTTTTTTTTTTTTTTGCATTTTGGGTCACACCTGATGATGCACAGGGTTACTCCTGGCTCTGCACTCAGGAATTACTCCTGGTAGTGCTTGGGGAAGTGCTCTGGACCATGCGGGATGCTGGGAATCAAACCGGGTTCGGCTGCATGCGAGGCAAATGCCCTACCCACTCTGCTATCGCTCAAGCCCCCAAACGCTAAAATACTCTTAACTGCTACCACTGAACAGATGCTATGTGCTACACCTAGATTCTGAGCAGTCTTTGTAAATTTGGGGGTGGGGGAGGACTAGTTTTGGGCTACAGCCAGTGATGCTCTGATGCTGCTCCAGGCTTGGTGCTTGGGGAAACAAGTGTCAGGGATCAAACGCGGGGCCCTGCAACAAGGCATGCACAGCAGGTCTTTTGAGTCACATCCCAAACTGTCATCTTTATAAAACTACACCAAGGGAAACAAAAACCCTGTTATATAAGTTGCCACGTTTGGCACAGAGAAGAAAGGTATTCAGTCCAGGTCTGTCTGAGCACTAGAATCCTCAGCTATTTTCAAATATTTATTGCTTTGCAGCCAGAGCCCCATTTGTTAAGTACTTAACAATGCTCTTTGTTTTGGGGTGCTGTGAAATGAACCTGGGCCTCACACCTGGGAGGCAAATACTCTATGGCTAAGCCATATCCCTGGCCTGCTAGCATTGTGCTTTTATTTCTGTATATTTTGGGGCCACACCCAACTAATGCTCAGGGGCTATTCCCAGGAGGTTGTGAGGGACCGTACGGTGCCTGGGAGATTTAGGAAATATGGCGAGAAGGAGACCAATGCATTCAAGGAACACAGAAACCAGAGAGATAATATAACAGGTAGGGAGCTTGCCACGCATATGGCCAACGCGAGTTCTAGCCCCATTACCACGTACGGTTCTTTAACCCTGCCAGGAGACACCCGAGTACAGCTGGGAATGAGTCTGAAACACTGATGTGTGTGACATAAAAACCAAAAACTGTACATTTAAAGGAATTTTTCTTGAAATGATCACACACGTACAAAAATAAATAGATGAGGATTTTTTAGAGCAGCATATTAATATTCTTAATATTAAGGGTATTAAAAACTGGAAATGGGCTGGAGCAATAGTACAGCAGGTAGGGTACTTGCTTTGCACACAGCTGACCTGGGTTTCCATATCCCATATAGTCCCCAGAGTGACACCTGGAGTGATTCCTGAGTATAGAGCTAGGAGTAACCCCTGAGCACTGCTGGGTGGGCTGAAAAAACAAAACTAAACAAAATAACTGAAAATAGCCTGGTGTTCTAACTGCAAGGTCTTGGTTAAATTTGTTCTAATCATATAACAGAAATGCCACTGAGGTGCTGGATAGTATAGGGTTAAGGAGCTTGTCTTGCGCCCACCTGGAGCCCAGTTCAATCTCCTACACCATGTACAGTCCTCTGAGCAACTATAGGAATGACTCCTGAGCACTGAGCAAGAAACAAGCCCTGACCACTGCCAAGTATGGCCCACAAACAAAACAAAAATAAAGAAATGCCAGACTTTAAGAATGTCAAATAGGGCTAGAGAGATAGTAAAGTGAGTAGGGTGCTTGCCTTGCAGGCAGACAACCAGGGTCTGATCCCCAGCATCCCATATGGTTGCCGGAGCACTACTAGGACTGATTCCTGAATGCAAAGTCAGGAGTTAAACCCTGAGCATTGCCAGTTGGGGCCAAAAAACAAACAAGAATGTTAATAGGGCCAGAGCAGGTAGGGTGCTTGCTTTGAATATGCGTGACCTGAATTAAATCTCCAGCACCCCATGTGTTCCCCCAACCCTTATTAGGAGTGATATCTCAGCACAGAGCCAGGAGTAAACCCTGAGCATGTCTGGATGTAGCAAAAAAAGGGCTGAAACAATAGTTCAACTGGCTGAATATATGTGGAAGGCCTGGTTTCATTCTCCTGCACCACTGAGAGAGACCCCCAAGCACAGAACCAGGAGTAGCCTCTGATGAGCCCTGTGGGTTAGGCCCAAGAACAACAAAACCCAAAACACCAAAAAGTGAAACACTCACTTTACTTGCATGGAAAATATCTACAACATACTATTAAGTGATCTGTTTCACAATTGCATTGGTAAAATGGCTTGGTTTTGCAGGAAGAAATCTGAGCATCACACGTGAAGCATGAGTTTTGCCCCTGACCCAATTAATATTTGTTTTGGGGGGGTCCACATCTGGCAATGCTCAAGGGTGTACTCCTGGCTCTGTGTTCAGAGATCAGTCCTAGAGGTGATCACAGGACCATATACAGTGCCAGGGACTGCATTGGGGTCAGCCTTGTACAAGCCAAGTGCTTTAATCCCTGGTACAGTACCTCTCTGCTACTTCACAACTTTTTTTTTTCTTTTTTATTAAAATTTTTTTTTTTTCTTGAGGGGATGCACACTAGGCAATGCTCAGGGATTACTGCTAGCTCTACACTCAGGAATCACTGAGTGGTGCTCAGGGACCCCTGGCAGTGCTCAGGGGACTGGATGGAATGGGATGCCGGTGATGGAACCCAGGTCAGCTATGTGCAAAGTAAGAACCTTACCTGCTGTACTCTTTCTCTGGTCCCTCTATTTTTGTTTTTGGATCACACGTGGTAGTGCTCAGGGGTCACTCCTGACTGCATTCCTGGCAAGCTGGGGACCATATAGGATACCAGGACTAGAACCTGGATCAGCTGCATGAAAGGCAAGCACCCTACCAACTGAACTATCTTTACAGCCCGACAGTTTTTTTTTGGGGGGGGGTGTCACACCCGGCAATGCACAGGGGTTACTCCTGACTCATGCACTCAGGAATTACTCCTGGCGGTGCTCAGGGGATCATATGGGATGCTTGGGAATCGAACCCGGATTGGCCGCATGCAAGGCAAACACCTCTACCCACTGTGCTATTGCTCCAGCCCCCAATTTTTTTTTTTTTAAGAGTCAGACAGAACTGGATTTTAGTTCCAGCGTGTTATTGACTAGCTGTGTAGACATGAACAATTTTTGTTAAATTGTTGAGGAGGTATGGGCATACTTCAGTGGTAGAGTATTTGCCGTGCAAATGTGAAGTCCTGGGTTTGGTATTATAAATAGATGCTGAAGCCATGTACGCTGGAAGTGCTAAGGGGATAGAATAACACAGTGCTGGGGATGGAACTCAGAGCCACATGTATACGAGACATGTACTCTACCACTTGACCCACATCCCTGCAATGCTGAGCAATTTGCTTTCTTTTGAAAAATAGTCTTATTGCAGGTGAGAAAACTAATTTTAAGAATGTCGGATTCCCCACAGAGAGAGGAATATGGGACTGGAGGTCTCTGATGTCACAAGAGTCGATGCAGCCGAAGGACCACTGGCTGAATATCATCAGAGTGACCCTGGGCTTCTGGGCACTGCTTGAGAGTGCCCCCTTACCGAAAAAAATGTAAATTAATTTCCTGAAGGTGAACAACGGGCAACCCCAGGATGGAGTGTCCACTGAGCATTATCTTCAGCTTCAGGTTCTTCTTGTGTAAAACAGCAACACTCCTATCAAATGTAATGATGTGAGATCAAATTGTTAATACAAAGTATTTCAAGCAGCAGCCATAGGAGGTTCTCCTTGCAACTTTTTCTTCAGCACAGATATATTAAATGCTGCATTAAGCCCAAGCTGGCCAGCTAGGTAAGCAATGGCGAGATCCTGGTGCTGAGTGCTGGGGATGCTGGTGGTGCAGCAGTAGAGCACTTGTCTTGTACGTGAGGCCAAGTCTGATCACCAGCAGCATACAGAAAAATAAATAATTATAATCCTTGGCCTGTAAGAAGTGTAGACCTAATAGAAAACTCACTTATATGAAATCACAATAGGCCCAGAATGACAGTACTGCAGGTAGGGGGCTTGCCTATCTTGCATACTGCCGAACTGATTTGGATTCCCAGCACTATTGATGGTTCCCAGTGCCCCACCAGGATCCTGGAGCACAGAGCCATGTGTGCCCCCAAAACAAAAAAAGAAATCACAAATCACAAAGAAGTCCCTACTAGAAAGAAAATATTCTGACAATAAAGAAAATAAAGAAAAAAACACGATCTCTCCAAGAATACGGTATTCTATCCAAGTCATAAAGATTAGAAAGTTTGACACAAGGGGACAGGTGAAGTAAAAGCAAGGCAGAGGAGCTGCATTGGTATTATCTTTACACTTTCTTTAAAAGGGAGGACATATGATTTAAGTAGTATTCCAGAACATCTTTCAGTATTAGTGTTTCTCATTTTTATGTGACGGGTGTATAGTGGGGAAGTAGCTTAGTTAAATTAATATATTCCCCATTGGTGATTATTTCCTTGCAGTTTGGGCTATTACAAATAAAACCACAAACATCTTTGTGTACAAATGTGGTTAAAGGTGCATATAATTTTCTAAAATTTCATTTTGTTTTAAAAATGTGTGTGTGTAGATGGCTGTTTCTGCCCTCTTTGGTCCTTAATAATCTTTATTGGGGCTGGAGCAATAGCACAGCAGGTAGTGTGTTTGCCTTGCATGCGGCCGACCCGGGTTCGATTCCCAGCATCCCATATGGTCCCGGGAGCACCGCCAGGAGTGACTCCTGAGTGCAGGGCCAAAAGAAACCCCTGAGCATCGCTGGGTGTGACCCAACCCAAAAAGAAAAATAAATAAAAACTTTATCGATGGGGTTGAAGCAATATTGCAACAGGTAGGTACTCGCCTTGTATCCCACGGACTCTGGTTCTATCCCTGGCACCCCATATGGTCCCCCAAGCTCGCTAGGTATGATCCCTGGGCAAAGAGCCAGGAGTAAATCCTGAGCACCAACAGGTGAGGTCCCAAACCAAATAAACAAAAAATAACAGTAATATTTAGCCACTTCCTGGTATTGTTCTTCAGCACAGGAATCAACTTCCAGCTAATCTGTGAACTCGGGGGCACAGATGTTACTTCTCTCCTCCACTTCGCTCAGCCCCCAAATGCTTGTCCAATTCAAGTGTTTCCAAGGCTCTGGGCTGTCCTTCGCAGCAGGCTCGTTTCCATGGGCACCTACCTCAGGTCATTCTTGAGTTCCACCACCACGTCCTTGCCCACAAGGGACTTGAAAAAGGAATAGAAGAGCTAAAGGGCAAAAAAGGGGGAAAAACCATCATGTGGGAAGGGACACGCCGGGAAGGAAGGCCGCCCCCACTACCATCATTAGCCAAGAATGGTACAGGGCTCATTTCAAAGCCATCTGGGAGCTAAGAGTCGGTGACAGGGGCTGCACTTTCCTGGATCCCCGAAAAGAAAACCCAGAGGGGCCGGGCCGCAGCAGCCCAGTAGCAGCAGTCCAGCAGGCACACCGAGGCTTGGTTCGGGCCCCTGCACTCAAAGGGGCTCCGCCCGCAGCCCTGGACAGCGCGCGCTCCCCGCCTCCGGGGTCCCTGTGAGCAGCAGAACGTTCCCCCACCCGACCTCGTAGACCTCCTACAGGGTCTAGCGGTCCCCAACCGACTCGCTCAGAGACTTTTTCCTCTTAAAGCAAAGTCCCATTTGCTTTCCTCAAAACACCTGGGGCGCAGGAACGAGGATGGAGGGAAAATGCCAACCTCCCAACTCCAGCCCCAGGAACAAAGCCGCGACCCCCGGGGCCGCCCCCAACCGTCCAAACCGCCAGGACTCAGGCCCCGGGACGCCACGGGACGCACCATGGTGCTTGCGCGGGAGTGCTGGCCAGGCCGGTCAGAACCGGGCCGGGGTCCGCGCGCCGGACGCCGGGCGGGATCCGGAGCACGAGCCCGCGTGCGGGGCGAGGCGGAGTCGCGCAGCCGCAGAGGGAAGAGCTGAGCGCGCGGGGCGGGGGGCGGAGCCGCGCGGGGCGGGGCCGGGGCGGGCACCCCGGGGGCGGGGCTTCTGCTCTTCCGTTTCCTCCGCGGGCCCGGGCTCCCACCGCGCAGGCGCCGCCCAGGGTCGTTCGCGGCTTTTCAGCCGTAGCTGCCTTAGTGGTTTTACCGTTTTCAGGGGCGGGAGGCGGTTTTTCGAAAACTTTTATTATTTTAACCCCAATGGAGTTTTGTTCTTTTCTTGTGACTGTGCAGACCCACAGCATGATTGCTCACACCCTACCGAGATTTCCCATTAAAAGCTGTTGGAGGGGCTGGAGTGATAGCACAGCGGGTAGGGCGTTTGCTTTGCACGCGGCCAACCCAGCATCCCATGTGGTCTCCCAGGCACCGCCAGGGGTAATTCCTGAGTGCTTGAGCCAGGAGTAACCCCTGTGCATCACAGGGTGTGACCCAAAAAGAAAAAAGAAAGCTGTTGGAAGGCTGGGGATGTGGCTCCATCCTTTGCATGTGTGAAGCTGGGGGGAGTGGTGTTTTGTTTTTGTTTGGGGGCTACACCCGTCATGCTCAAAATTTATACCTGGCTCTGCACTCGGGAATCGTTGGCGATGCACGGGTTACCTGGGATCGAGGGAATTAAACTCGGATTGGCTGTGCTCAGGGTTTACTCCTGGCTCTGTGCTCAGGGATCAACCCTGGCAGGCTTGAGGGACATTTAGGGTGCTAGGGATGGAACCTGTACTTGGCACGTGCAAGGTAAAGGCCCTATGGTGTGTACTATTCCTCTTACCCTAAACTGTGCCATATACTTTTTTGTAGGTATATCACACTTAGAATAAGTTTCTGTTTCTTTGTAAGGACAGGGAATGTGGTTTATTGGCCAAGTATATACCTTGAATGCAGGAGACTTAGCATCAATCCTCAGAACAAGGTGGGGAAAAGCTCCCCAATATCAGGATCTTAAGCACACATTTTAATTTTTAATTTTATTTTGGGTTTGTTTTTCTTTTTTGAGGGAGCACAACACCAGGGGTGTTCACGTTTATTCTTACCTTTGTGCTCAAAGAGCACTGCTGGTGATTCTGGGGGACCATATTTAGTGTGGAGATAGACTAGGTGGGAAGCCAACTTAGGGTTGATCTCTGGCGCTCCATATGGTCCTTTGAGCCCTACACCAGTGATCTCTGAGCATAGTGCCAGGAGTAAGCCCTGAGTATTACTGGGTGTGGCCCCAAACCCAGAAAATTTAAAAAAATATTTTTTTAAGTCCAATAAACATTTTTCCAAAGGACCTACCCTCATTCTATATTTCTTGCACACTTGCCTAGGGATGTCCTGTAAAAGGCTAAAATGAAACTGGGAAGCTCTAGGGTAGAAGTACCTATTCCCAGGCTGGAGTGATAATATTTAGGGTAGGGCATTTGCCTTGCACATGGTCAACCCAGAGTTGATTCCGACAACCCATATGGTCTCCTGAGTCCAACCGGAGTGATCCCTGAGCTGGTAGGAAACCCTGAGCATAGCCAGGTGTGGCACAAAAACCAAAAAAAAAAAAGTAAAATACCTATTCTCATAACTACTGACCCCTCATATGAAAAGGAACACAAATGCACTCATGTCCCCAGGTAATTTTGTTGTTTGCTGGTGGTGGCTGCTAAGGTGCTGGGTCACATCTAGCAGGACTCAGGAAAAGCTATGCTGGGGATGAAACCCAGGGCTTCACAAGGACAAGGCACTCGTCCTACCCTTTGAGCCATATCTTCAACCCAAGATTTTTATAAATGCGCTCTAGTGACACAATAGGTAAAAAAAAAAATACCACACTGGGCTACAGAGATATCTCAATGGGCAGGAATACATACTTTGCATGCAGGAGACCCAGGTTCGACCCTCAGCACTCCAAAAGCTACCACAAGCACCCTTGGGTATGACTCCCCCAAATAAAACAAAAATCCACACAAAATCATCTGTTTCTCAGTTTGCATAAAAGTACCCATTTTCAGGAATTTGTTGTAAAAATATTTTCTGATTGTAAAGGATATGATAATGGATCATATGTGCACATAATGCTGGATTTCTTAGACCTCGCCATTAAACTGAAGTTTGCCCCAATCTCTACCCCAGCTGAACCGTAAGTAAAGTCTATCACTACAGTTTTCTTAATGTTTGTTTGCCAGCTACATGCTGGAGATGCTCAGGGACTACTCCTAGCTCAGCTTGGTGGTTGTTCTGTGAGGTGTTCATAGAACCATATGGTGCCAGAGATCTAGCCTCAGCCTCCCACATGCAAAGCATGTACTCAGCCCAGTAAGCTCTGATCCATGACTCTAGTTAATTATACTTACATAAGCAGTAACTACATAGTTGGCAGCTGCTCTACCTGGGCAAAAGATGATCAGAAGTATTTTCTGGAGGGAACTAAAGTGATAGTAGAGCAGGTTGGGTGCCTTACATCCTTAAACATGCCAACACTGGGTTCTATCCCTGTCACCCCGTATGGTCTCACCAGGAATGATCCCTGAGCACTAACCTGTGTGGCCAATAATAATAAATAACAATAATAATAATAATAAAAGTACTCTCCTGTTTGAAATCATTAACTTGTGGAAATTTAGTTACTTTGCATTTACCAGTTTTATCATCCATAGTTCACAATTAGACCACACATACTCTCTTCATGAACTCTTTACTTTTCAAGCTACACTTACAGTCTGATGAGCCAGAGATAATTTGCTTTAGGAACAGATTTACTGAGTGACAACCATCCATAAGGAAGAAATCAAGCTGGGAAGACTGGAAATAAATACAGACATTCAAATTCATACAATGGTTCAAAGAGGGGCCTACTTTCCCTAAGAATTTCACTCCCGAGTCAGAAAGAAGACACTGGAGAATGTGGAAAGATGATATAGAGACTCCATCAGAATCCCAAAGGGATTATAACTTAGATACAGTTGATTCAAGAATCCAGGTCCGGTCAATTCAAGAATCAATGTTTGAACATGCAGGCAACAAAATTCATCTTAGATACTCCCTTGAGGATCCTTCTCCAGCTCCAGACAAGATTAATCAACTTCCTCAATAGTAGGGCCTGTGGCAGCCCTTCCAGGCGAGTACCCCGTCCCACAGGTGGGGCCAGTGCACCCTCCCTGGTAGAGTTTTGTGATGACTGGGTTACACACCTTCTCCAACTCCTTTCTCTTATGATCAAACTCATCTTTCTCTGCCAATTGATTTGCCTCCAGCCACGTTAGGACCTCACTACATTTGTCAAGTATTTTCTTTTTGTCTGACTCACTAATCTTGCCCTTCAAGCCTTCATCACTCACAGCACTCTTCATGTTAAAGGCATAGGATTCCAGGGCATTTTTGGCAGCAATTTTCTCTCTCTGGTGTTCGTCCTCGGCTTTGTACTTCTCAGCATCCTGAACCATGCGCTCGATCTCATCCTTGCTCAGGCGGCCCTTGTCATTGGTGATGGTGATCTTGTTGGCCTTGCCTGTGCTCTTGTCCATAGCTGTCACATTGAGAATACCATTGGCATCAATATCAAAGGTCACCTCGATCTGGGGCACTCCCCGGGGTGCAGGGGGGATTCCAGTCAGGTCAAAGCGTCCCAGCAGGTTGTTGTCCCTCGTCATAGCCCTCTCGCCCTCATACACCTGGATCAGCACCCCCGGCTGGTTGTCTGAGTAGGTGGTGAAGATCTGAGTCTGCTTGGTGGGAATGGTGGAGTTGCGCTTGATTAAGACAGTCATCACACCTCCAGCCGTCTCCAGCCCCAGGGACAGAGGAGACACATCCAACAAAAGAAGGTCTTGTACCTTTTCAGACTTGTCCCCCATCAGGATGGCCGCCTGCACCGCCGCCCCATAGGCCACCGCCTCGTCAGGGTTGATGCTCTTGTTGAGATCACGACCATTAAAGTAGTCCTGCAGCAGCTTCTGCACCTTGGGGATGCGGGTGGAACCCCCGACTAAAACAATGTCATGGATTTTAGCCTTATCCATCTTGGCATCCCGGAGAGCCTTCTCCACGGGTTCCAAGGTGCCCCGGAACAGGTCTGCACACAACTCTTCAAACCGGGCTCTGGTGATGGAAGTGTAGAAGTCGATGCCCTCGAACAGGGAGTCGATCTCCAGGTTGGCCTGGGTGCTGGATGACAGGGTCCTCTTGGCCCTCTCACACGCGGTGCGAAGCCGCCTCACGGCTCGCTTGTTCTGACTGATGTCCTTCTTATGTTTCCTCTTGAACTCATCCACAAAGTGGCTCACCAGTCTGTTGTCAAAGTCTTCCCCACCCAGGTGGGTGTCCCCAGCAGTGGCCTTCACCTCGAAAATTCCATCATCGATGGTCAGGATGGACACATCAAAAGTGCCTCCACCCAGATCAAATATCAGGACATGTCGTTCTCCATGACCTGCTTTATCTAAGCCATAAGCAATGGCAGCAGCCGTGGGCTCATTGATGATTCTCAGCACATTGAGACCTGCTATCACCCCTGCATCCTTTGTGGCCTGGCGCTGAGAATCATTGAAATAGGCGGGCACAGTGATCACAGCATTAGTGACAGAGTGGCCCAAAAATGCTTCAGCTGTCTCTTTCATCTTAGTCAGTACCATAGAAGAGATTTCCTCTGGATAGAAAGCTTTTCTCTCCCCTTTGTAGGACACCATTACCTTGGGTTTGCCTCCTTCATTGATTACTTGAAAAGGCCAAAGTTTCATATCTGACTGCACTACAGGGTCGTTAAATTTCCTGCCGATCAGCCGTTTCGCATCAAAGACAGTGTTCTGGGGATTCATGGCCACCTGGTTCTTGGCGGCATCGCCGATGAGCCTCTCAGTGTCAGTGAAGGCCACGTAGCTGGGGGTGGTGCGGTTGCCCTGGTCGTTGGCAATGATCTCCACCTTGCCGTGCTGGAACACCCCCACGCAGGAGTAGGTGGTGCCCAGGTCGATGCCGATAGCCATTCCCTTTGTTGCAGCCATGGTTTTACGGGCCCTATGAAAAAAAGTATGAGAAAGTCATCTGAGTATTTAAAAAAATATATTTTTTGGCTTTTTGGGTCACACCCGGTGATGCACAGGGGTTACTCCTGGCTTTGCACTCAGGAGTTACTCCTGGCAGTGCTCAGGGGACCATATAAGATGCTTGGGATTGAACCCAGGTTGGCTACATGCAAGGCAAACACCCTACCCACTTTCCTATCACTCCAGCCCCTTAAAATTTTTTTTAAGGCCACAAAAATAGTTCAATGGGCTAAGTGCTTGCTTTGTATGTACCAGAAACCTGGTTTTGATTCCTGGCACCACAAGGTACCCTGAGCACCACTGAGGATGATTGGGTTCGTTCCTGCACACCACCAGGTGATGCCCCCAGAAAAAAACTAAGAACAAACCAAAGAAATGTAAAAATATTTTTTGTTTTTGTAAGATACACATAACATGAAATGTTCCATCAAACTTTTTTCAAACCATTTTGAAGCATACAGTTCAGCAGCAAATCCATCTACATATTCATGTTCTATCCAAAGAATTTCCAGGACTCATCATTTTTTAAAAATTTAAAACTGTATATCCATTAAACAGCATCCCATATCCTGCTCCATACAGCCCAACTCCCCACTTCTTTAATTTTATCTTTATAGATTTTGGGCCACACCTGGCATTGCTCAGGGCTATTTTTTCTGGCTCTGTGCTTAGGAATTGCTCCTGGAAGCCTTGAGAGACCATATAGTGTACTGGGGATCTAACCCTGTTGACCTTGTACAAGGCAGATGCCCTACCCTCTATACTACCACTCCAGGCCGCCAACTCCCACCCCTCTATCTTTCTCTATGAATTAGACTACTTTAGATACTTAATTTGTTTTTTTTTTGGGGGGGAGGGGGCACACTTGGCAATGCTCAGGGATTACTCCTGGCTCTGCACTCAGGAATCACTCCTGGGGGTGCTTGGAGGACCATCTTGTGGGATGCTGGAGATAGAACCCATGTCGGCTGTGTGCAAGGCAAGCACTCTACCTGCTGTACAATCACTCTGGCCCTATATCTGATTTTTCTTTTGTTGACTATTTTTACCACTTAGCACAATAACCTCAAAAGTTCATCTAAGATAAAGCATGTGTTGGAAATTTCTTCTAAGAACTGGGACAAAATGATAAAGTTTGTGCCCCACAGGAGTGAGACTCTGGATCAGATTTAAGCACCACCCCCTAGCCCCTCAAATTGCTTTCTTCTTAAAGATGAACAGTATTCGTTGACTGGAAATACCACATTTTGTTCATTCATTCACTCGTCTATGAACACTTGCACTGTTTCCACCTTATGACTCTTTCATTATCACTGCCCTTAACTTAGTACATATGTCCCTTTTTGAAAATTTCATTTTGGGCCACACCTGACTATGCTCAGAGCTTACTCCTGACTCTGTGCTCAGGAAATCACTCCTAGCAGGGCTCGGGGGACTGTATGCCAGGGATTGAACCCAGGTCATCCATGTGCAAGGCAAGCACTCTCCCTGCTGTACTCTCTCTCTGGTCCTGTATGTCCTTAATGTGCTATTGGGGCAGAGATAGCACAAGGTGTTAGTGTATTTGCTTTGTATCTACAGCACCACATAGTTTTATCCTCGGCTCCATCTACTCTTTGTTGTGGACAAAGTGATGCACAGAGGGTTCCCTTAGCAACATTCTAGGAGTAATCCTACTCCATATTGGTGGAGAAAAAAAAAGGATTGGGAGAGTGAGCTCTGAGGCCTTGAGTACAGGCTTTGTATGTGGGAGCCCTAGATTAAATTCCTTGCACCTCATTCTCTCCCCCTCGACAAGCATCCTTGGAAGCAACCACCGAGCATGAAGCTGGGAGTAGCCTCTGAAAATGGCCAGGTGTGGTCCCAAAAAGTGAGACTGGAGACATAGCACAACAGTCTAAAGCATATACTTGGCATGTGGGAGGCCCAAGTTTGTTCCCTGACACGACAGGGTTGCCCCCAAGTACTGCCAGAAACTACTGAGAACACGGAGCCCAAAACAGTACCTGAGCACCGCATCAATACTGGGTGGGGCCCCAGAGACTAACAAAGGACACAGGAGGACAGTGGGCATACACTGCTTTTAATTTCTCACAGATCTGACTCAATTGTCCTGATCTGATGTCTGTTATATATTAATCGGGGCCCAGACAGTCTAAAGCACTTGCCTGGCACACAGCTGACCCAAGTTCAATGCCTGACTCCCAGTATGGTCCCCACAGCCCCATCAGAAGTGATCTCTGAGCACAGAACTAGGAGTAAGCTCTGAGGATTACAGGTGTAGCCTAAAACCCAAAAATAATTAAATGTATAAATATGTTAATTGGGAGAGGGCACACCCTGCAGTGTTTGGGAGGTTATTACAGGTTCTCAGGTGTTCCTGGTAATGCTTGGGGTACTGTATGTGATGCTGGGAATTGAACCAGGGTCCATATGCAAGGTAAGTGCTTTATTAGGTCCTGTGCTATCTTTCCAGTTCCTATTATATACATGTTTTTAGATGCTGAAACTATACACCTGTCTCCTGCTAAACTCAAGATTTTTTAATTTATTATTTTTAATGTATTATTTATTTTATTTATTAGTTTTGTTTTTGGTTTTGGGTCACACTTGGCAATGCTCAGGGGTTACTCCTGGCTCTGCACTCAGGAAGTGCTCCTGGTAAAGTTCAGGAAATCATATGGGATGCCAGGGATCGAACCTGGGTTGGCTGAGTACAAAGCAAGTGCCCTACCCACTGTACTCTCCAGGCTTAAATTCAAGATTCTTTATGTCGAGACAGGAGCAATAATACAGAGGTTAGGGCATTTGCCTTGCATGCAACTGACCATGGTTTGATTCCCAGAAATCCCATTTGGTCTGCCAAGCACTGCCAGGAGTGATTCCTGAATGCAAAGCCAGGAGTAACCCGAGCATTAAGTATGCTCAAAAATCAAAATAAATAAATAAATACATATGGGTTGGAGCAATAGTACAAAGGAATGGGCATTTGCCTTGCACGAGGCTGACCTGGGTTTAATCCCCAGCATCCCATATGGTCCCCTAAGCTCCAAAAGGAGTAATTCCTGAGTATGGAGCCAGGAGTAACCCCTGACCCAAAAGCACAAATAAACAAACAAATAAAATAAGAATTCTTCATATTCTGGTCACTTTAGGAAACTAATCTCCACATATGGGAGAGCTGCCTTCCTAGACTCTATTACTCTATATTAAGACTTTATGATAGAATTTGGAGAAGGTGACTGCTAAAACTTAGCAAACCCTCTTCAGTTGTTCAGGAGAGGTGCTGTATTCCAGGCAATCATTCTCTTTCTCCCAAATGAAACTCGGCTTCCTTAGTGAAAATCACAAACTGGAGAGGTAGTACAGTCATCAGCCTGGCTTCAATTCTCCAACACACCATATAATCCCCCAAACCCCAACAGGAGTGTACTCTGAGCACAGAGCCAGGAATAAGACCTGAACACAGCGGGGTGAGTCAAAAATAAACAGATTAAAAATAAAATTAAAAATTATTTACTGATTGGTTCTTCCACCTCAATCCCACAGCTCTGACAACTCTGAAATTTCCAAGTCACTTGACCACTTAAAGCGTCCCCTCCCACCACTGGCACTCAGTTCCCATGGAAAAAGACCTTAGGGTCTCCTACCCATTCCCACCACTCCCTACTCACCTGCTTTCTCTACGCCTGCGATCCAGTTTGAAAACTTAGGATTTTGGAGCCCCTGTAAGCAGGGGCTCCCTTAATATTACAAACTGAAACAGCTGGTGTCCCCCCACCCCCCCTCCCTCCCCTCCATACAACTTTGAGCAGGCTACTGTCCTATCATCTTGATTCTATACTGGCCCGTGAGGTCAAACAGCGAGTCCATTGTAACGCAAAGGGGCGCGGCAGTACGGCCCCGCCCATCTCTTTTGCATACATCAACACAAACCGTCCCGTCTCGGCTTCAGCCCCCCTAATTCACACATGACCTCCCTTCTCTAAGCCTCCATGACTTGGCAAATCCCAAAACAGACTAGGGAATAGGGGGTAGGGTTGACACCGAGAAGAGCCTGGAGAGTTCGGGAAAGGGAGGCATCCAAACGGCTCAGTGGTCCCCGAAAGCCTGGGGGCGGACCGAAAGCGAAACCACTGGAATATTCCCGAGGTGCCGCCGCAACGAACGCTGTGATTGGCTGAGGAGGAAAAAGGCGGGGCTGATGCCGCTATAAAGGGGGCCGCGGGCTGCCTGACCCACAGGGAGCCCAACGAGGGGCTAACAGCAGTTAACGACTCAACGCGCGGCGGCCCCAAGGCTTAAGCGCCTTTTGATTCTGCATTCTGAAAACCCGAGGTCCATCTGGCAGATCTCTTCTGCTGAGTCCAGACCTGAGAGCGAGCAAGACAGCAGCATGGCAAAGGGAACAGCTATCGGCATCGACCTGGGCACCACCTACTCCTGCGTGGGGGTGTTCCAGCACGGCAAGGTGGAGATCATCGCCAACGACCAGGGCAACCGCACCACCCCCAGCTACGTGGCCTTCACCGACACCGAGAGGCTCATCGGCGATGCCGCCAAGAACCAGGTGGCCATGAACCCGCAGAACACCGTGTTCGACGCGAAACGGCTGATCGGCCGCAAGTTCAGTGACGCGGTGGTGCAGTCAGACATGAAGCACTGGCCCTTCCAGGTGATCAGTGACGGGGACAAGCCCAAAGTGCAGGTGAGCTACAAGGGCGAGACCAAGGCTTTCTACCCCGAGGAGATCTCGTCCATGGTGCTGACCAAGATGAAAGAGATCGCCGAGGCATACCTGGGACACCCCGTGACCAACGCGGTGATCACGGTGCCCGCCTATTTCAACGACTCTCAGCGCCAGGCCACCAAGGACGCGGGGGTGATCGCGGGGCTCAATGTGCTGCGCATCATCAACGAGCCCACGGCCGCTGCCATCGCCTACGGGCTGGACAAAA